AAAGTATTTCAAACCAAAGCCACAGGATTGTAACAGAGGTTACTAAAGTTTTGAAGATTATTAAAGCATTTGAAGACAATAAAAATCAATCATCTTCCTTTCCTAAATCCAAGCACGAGTCATTTTCATTTTCCAAAATCATATTCTATGATGATGCATGGAGTCCATCCAGAATATGGCCAAGTCCAATGCATCTGTTAGCCCTCAACTAACCTCCATTTAAAAAGACCACCAAAGGGATCCCTGGGTGGCGCAGCGGTTTGGCGCCTGCCTTTGGCCCAGGGCGCGATCCTGGAGACCCGGGATCGAATCCCACATCGGGCTCCCGGTGCATGGAGCCTGCTTCTCCCTCTGCCTGTGTCTCTGCCTCTCTCTCTCTCTCTCTGTGACTATCGTAAATAAATAAATAAAAAACCTTTAAAAAAAATAAAAAAAAAATAAAAAGACCACCAAACCAGATGTGACAGAAAGAAATTGTTATCTAACAAGACATACTCTTTCATATAAAAACATCCCCCCCTCTAAAATGTGACAAGTTACTTATAAAGAATAGTAACTCCCTCTCCCATCCCTGCATATGGTTCAAAATATGAAACTAAGAAAACATTCATCATTTCAAACACTTCATCTAAAGCTACCTGAGGTAGAAATCTACAGTTCATTATATTAACACAGAAATACAGTTTTACATGTTAAATCAAGTGTTAAAATGAATATGCACATTTAGGCATGATCTACTTATATTTTTGAATTCAAAACACTACTATTTTTCTGTTTTTTAAAAAATAATCTCAACCTTATTTTATAAAGCTGAAACACATAACCATGATTATAAAATCTAGGCAGAGTGCAATTTCCTACATTGCCTCTCCACTTTCCTCCCTGCTTCCAAGCCAGGCAGACACAAAAACATACTTAAAACATTTTCATTGTTTTGAGTATTAGCTTCGAAGTCAATGCTGCACACATTTACAGTATGCTTCAGCGCTCAATTATATGACCTGTTTATTTAACTTTGCAGAGATGCCAGGTGAAGTCCACAGATATTTAACAATGTTTTTTGATTACTATACAAATAGAACTTCTCTTTAAAATTTGCTATATGGGATCCCTGGGTGGCACAGCAGTTTGGCGCCTGCCTTTGGCCCAGGGCGCGATCCTGGAGACCCGGGATCGAATCCCACATTGGGCTCCGGTGCATGGAGCCTGCTTCTCCCTCTGCCTATGTCTCTGCCTCTCTCTCTTTCTCTCTCTGTGACTATCATAAATAAATAAAAATTAAAAAATAAATAAAATTTGCTATATGACTCCTCAATTTTTCACTTCAAATGAAACTTATAATCTCTATGTACTAAGCAAAAGGTTTTCATGATCTTGAGAGTAACTTGATCATGTTTACTAAAGTATAAAATGAGACTAAATAGTATAGACTTAAAAAAAACCTTAATGGGTTTTTGTCTACAAGGAAAGAGTACTGACTCTGGTTCTCTGGTGTTTAGATAAAGAGGCCATTAACAAAAGTGCTCAGATTACTCCTATATACACAAAAAAAAGAAGAGATGGCAAAGAGAAAAGCAATTTATAAACCAACAGCAAATAAATTAAGGTCACTCTCCCACCCAGAAAGTGTGTAGAAAGTATAAGAATCAGCAATATTTCCACCTCTTTTTCAACTTTTGCAAACTTAGGTATTCTGCTCCCAATTGTGTAACTGTGTGGACAACTGCTCCACCAACATTTTCTATCTTAATTTATCACAATCATGTGATGATTATTAAAGCATTATTAAATTTGATATACACATTTTTTTAACATTTTAAATTTACTACATCAGCTTTAAGGGGAACACAAAGACTAACACTTGCAAATATGTTGCAGATTAAAAAGTATTTTCACTTACATCATCTCTTTTATTCTGCTTGAAAAAGGCATCAGGATTCTCATTTCATAAGGAAAGAGACTGGCTTAGAGAGGGTAGGTAACAAGCCTAAAGTCAATCACAAAGGGATAAAATCTGGAACTAGAAGCCCAAACTGGTTTAATAAATAAATTTTCAGTCACTTCTTTAATAGAAAGGACTAGGTTAATAGGTCATCTTGTTATTGATTCCCCCATGTAATATCATACATGCATGATCTGCTATGATAAAATAGTTGAGCAATATTCACTGAATATGTATCTCAAAATCAAATGAAACTACTCCACTTTAACAAGCCTTAGACAGGACACCTGGGTGGCTCAGCGGTTAAGTGGCTGCCTTCAGCCCAGGGGGTGATCCTGGAGACCCAGAATCGAGTCCCACATTGGGCTCCGTGCATGGAGCCTGCTTCTCTCTCTGTCTCTCATTAATAAATAAAATCTTTTACGAAAAAATTTTAAAACAAGGCTTAGAAAATATTAATGATATGCAGTCACTACAAAGTTTAGTGTATTTTTCAACTTTTTTGTATTTTTCAACATTTTAAAAATGTAAAAATCTACCCACAGTTAGCCAACACAAAAAATTAACTGAATTTAATGACTGTTTCTTAAAACATTTTAAGACTACATATACATTTGAAAACATAATTATTAACTTCTATTACATTTTGACTTAAATGCCTATTGTCTGAAGGGCTAAAATAAAAAAAGGAAAACTTTGCAATTTTAGTAATTTCCTGTAGATTAATGAATGCTGAAATGACCCAACTTTTTTTTATTCACAATGCCCCCTACTGGTAGCAAAAGTGGTTCTAATATATTTATTGCAGGAAATTGGATTCATTTCTTTACTGTGGTCTCCCACCACCTGCATATAAATTCTCTGGAATGCTTGTTAAAAATATAACTTCCCTCCCTCTATGAAATATCTACAGATATTGTGATTTCACTATGGCTAGAAACCTGCATTTTTAACAAGACCCCCAACAAGTAAGTGGAGAATCACTGGCTTGGCTAGTTATATCAACACTTGAATTTCAAAGCACCGCAACTTTGTGAAAAGCTCCGTAAAGGTATTATTATGCTGGTTTTACAGATGAATACTGAGGCTCAAGACAATTTATTACCCCAGGTAACATGCAAAAAAGTAGCAGAGCCACCAATATTTTTATTCCCAGTACTGTGCCCTTAAAGGAAAGAATAGCAATTTATTTCTTTAAATACAACTTATGTAAGCAGTACATACTATAACTTCTCAACTTTGGCTTGACATGATAATCACCTGTGGAGTTTTTAAAAATGCTTACACCCAGGGCCCACACTCAGAAATACAGATTTAATAGGTTTAGCATGGGCCTGGGCATTGTTCTTTCCTTAAACCTTCCAGGTGATTATAATCAGCCGCCAGGGCTGAGCATCGCTCAAACCAGTATTGCAGAGAATCACCTGGAAGACACAGACTACTGGGCCACACCGCCAGAGATTCTGATTCAGTATGGTCTGGAAGGGTTTGAATTTGCATTTGTAACAAGTTCCAGGTTGAGATGAGGATGCTGAATCTGTGACTAGACTTTTGAGAACCACTGGTTAAGAATGTTGGCTAGCGGTTTTCAAACTTGGCTACATATTAGAATCACCTGGAGAAAGTTTTAAAATCCTGAAATACTAGCCTATGGAATAAAGTTAGAAACTGCTTTGAGTGGCCTACCCGACATCCCCCTCCAACCTCATCTATTGCCAAACCCTTTCTCCCTCCTGCATAAGTTCCTATTAAAAATATTAACTCTATTGCAATTTTCTGTTGTAATGTGACTGTTTACACTCTTTCTCCAAGTTCTTTGGAGTCAGATATTGCACCTAATTTATCTTTGATTCCCCAGGGCCTACTATGATGCCAAGCATAACTGGTGCTCAATGAACATTTGTTGAGTAACTGAATGCAGATTGCTACCCCTACACTTCCTGTAGAAAAGGTAGTGTCAAGAATGGCTTTTATGCAACCTAGAATGTAAAAATAGATTTTGCATAACTAAAATAAAAATTTGAATATTTCTCCCTCATAAAGCTACTCTTATTTAGTATTGCTTTAAGTAGAAAAGGAATTATTTGCATTTAGAGATGATAATTTCATTTCCCTTGGGATCGGCCACATCTTCAATTCATTAGTAACTTAAGAATACCAAAAAGCTATTCGAAGAATCATTTAGTCAACTGTGATCCAAAAGGGGTACAAAGGCTTCATGTGTTAACAATGAGATGAAGTTTCCAAAAACCCTTAAGAGACACTGAGAAAGAAGCTCAAAAACTACTGTTGCGAAAATCCAAATTTTTAAAATTTGGACATATTAAAATCAAATCAATTTTGATTCTTTGGTTTTGTTTTTTAATTTCTAGAGAACAATAGTCTTCTGTTAGCAAGCTGCATATTTAACTCAGGTCAAGAGATTTCGGTATGTATCCCCAAATTTGCAAGATTGTTTAGTATTCTCCTTTATTGCCACAAAAGAAAACATATCTGACTTTATCCTATAAAGGTGCTTGCTGTTATGTCCATTCTGGTTTTCTGGTTCTATGTTTTCTATATGCTCTACAAATATTTAAAATAATCACATATGCAGAAGTCTCAAAGCATCATAAGACTATGCTGGTTCTTACACTTTTAGTTTGTGGTACTATGAAGCTATATTTGAGGAAATCAATCATGTTAAGAAATATTAACATATATTTGTTTTTAAAGAGCAGTGATAACTACCTAAACATATGTTTAGTCAACAAGTAGTTACTGAGTGCCCATTATATGCCAGGCACTGTTTTGGGAGCTTAGTTGCATAATAATGAAAATAAAATTCCTTATGAAGCTTACAACCTGGCATATTTTTTTTTTAGAAAGGAAAAAAAATAGAAATATGCTAGTGGTCCAAACTACAAATAGTGACTCTTTTTGCAAGGGAGAGGGAAAAGTTAAGTCTAAAAGTTATTAGTTTATAAAACTTGTTGGAAGACTCCCAGCACCTCTCTGAAAAGGCTAATAAAACCTAGAAGAAAGAGAAAATAAATGAAACTTTAAAATTAGAATTTACCTCTGAATTCCTTCAAGAATATCCTTCACCACCACCATTAACTTTTGAAGAGATACAAATGCTTCTTCAAAGGATGCTATTTTTGAAGAAGTCAAAGCTGCATTTGAGCCCAATCTTTGAAATACATCCATGCTAAAACAGAGAAAAAGAAAAGATATTCATAGGTATACATGCACGTTTATTGTAATTCAAGCATTTCTAATACATAAAATGAGGTAATATGTATAACTCCTCTCTCATAATCCTGATTTATTTAAATCAGAAATAAGAGACAGTGACTTGTGAATGTCCAGGCTACCATTCATGCAAAGGATCTAGAGCAACAACTGTGTGTGTCTAAGCTAAAGTAATACGGTACAAGCTGTGGGAATGATGTTTCTTATCAAGAGACTGGAAGGCACAGAAGTAAGACTATTAATCTAAATTCAAGTCAGTACATAAGTACTAACAGTACTCCAGTACATAAAGATGAAGAAAAAAAAAAAACGACATCAGATTTACGTTGTTTGCTGAAACTAGAAGTTTTAAATGTTCATACACCTTACGCTGGTAATTTTAGAAATCTAGCACATATTAACAATAATTCGCAATTGGTCAACAACTAGTAATCACCTACATGTTCAACAATATAAAAAGTGTTAAGTAAATGGTGAATTAGCCACCTGGTGAAATACCAAAGAACTATTAAAATAATGCTTATGCCATCTATAAGCTAGAAAAATAAAGGTATATAGAAGTTATTTATATAACATAACAATCACCATATAAATAAATCAAAACATGTGCTGTACTGGGTAGAATAATATGCCCCTGAAATTTATGTTCACCCAGAACCTCAGAATGTGACTTTATCTGAAATAAGATCTTTGCAGAACTTCCCAAAAGAACCAACTCTGCAGACACCAGGATTTCAGACTTTAGAGCCTCCAGAACCATGAGTGAATAAATTTCTGTTATTTTAAACCATCTAGTTTTTTTTAAGATTTTATTTATTTATTCATGAAAGAGAGAGAGAGGGGGGCAGAGACCAGAGGCAGAGGGAGAAGCAGGCTCCATGCAGGGATCCTGACATGGGACTCGATCCCAGGTCTTCAGGATCACACCCTGGCTGAAGGCAGCGCTAAACCACTGAGCCACCTGGGCTGCCCTTAAACCATTAGGTTTTGTCAATTTGTTATGGCAATCTTAGGAAACTATGCCTTAAAACACAGCTGAGTGTACATAATAATAACCATGTTTACTGGTTACCTTTGGTAGCATTCTTCAAGGGAAGTTTCTCACTTCATAGTACTTTCCAAGGCATTTTTAGAAATGATTGTGGTACAATAAACATAAAATTACCACTAACATTTTAAAGTGTACAATTCAGTGGCATTTGGCACATTCACAATGGCTACAACTATCACCACTATCTAGTCATAGAACATTTTCATCACTGCAAAAAGGAAACCCTGTATTCATTAAGGAATCACTCACCATTCCTCCCTCCCCAAAGTTCCTGGTAACTACTAATCTGTTTTCTATCTGTATAGATTGACCTACTGTGTTTCATCTAAAGGGAATCATATACCATGTGACCTTTTGTGTCTGGCTTCCTTCACTTAGCATGTTTTCAATATTTGTTCATGCCACAGTGTATATCGATACTTCATTATGACTAACATTCCATTTTATGGATATATACATTTTATGATATACCACATTTCGTTTATCCACTCATCTGTTAATGGACATTGGATTATTTCCACTTTGGCTACTGTAAATTGTTGTGAGCATTCATGTACATGTTTTTGTTCGAACACCTGTGGTCAGTTCTTTTAGGTATATATCTAAGAGTGGAACTACTGGGTCATATGGTAATTACATGTTTAATGTATTGTTTTCCACATTCCTACAAGTGATGTATAAAAGAGGTAAAGAATTTTCACAAGACCACAAAAGGGGAAATTGAGGAAATCTGAAGAAATACAATGGTTAATAAGTATAGTTTCACCTTTCTAAAAGAAAAAGTATTTTGCAACACAGGGTCTACCTTTCCTTCAATTGAGCATCTCTACATAAGGGCTCAAGCATGAGTATATTGAAAAGTTATATAGTGACTCTGGTACACAATGCTTCTGAGGCATGAGAAGCAATCAATTAGCAATATCAGCATTTTTCATGTACTGAAATGCTACAAAGGAAAGTCTATTTATCATACAGAAATTAGCTGGAACTTTAACATCCAATGCAAATGTATGTATATTATAGATCAATTCTAAGATTAAAGTATTCAAATATTTTCTAAATGAAAAGAAGATTAAAATATTTTAGAAATGACTTTTTTAAAAAGATTTTATTTATTCATGATCAAATATTTTCTAAATGAAAAGAAGATTAAAATATCTTAGAAATGGCTTTTTTTTTTAAAAGATTTTATTTATTCATGAGAGACAGGCAGAGACACACGCAGAGGGACAAGCAGGCTCCATGCAGGAAGCCCGATGTGGAACTCGATCCCAGGACTCCAGGATCAGGCCCTGGGCTGAAGATGGCGCTAAACCACTGAGCCACCTGGGCTGCCCAGAAATGGCTTTAATCTATTTTATTTTGAAAATGATAATCTCAAAAAAAAAAAAAAAAAAGAAAGAAAATGCTAATCTCTGCCTAATATATATAATAACTTTCTGATAACAAGACTATCTGATTAGCCAAAACATTGCCAATACATTAAGAATAGACAAAACAATACATTAAGAATAGACAAAACAAACAATAAAACCTTTGCTTTATATGAAAATACAAATTTTTAAGTATTGTTTTCCTTAGCTTACATGTTAGGTATTGGTATTTCGTTAGTATGACAAACTACGCATTTGTGGGAAAGAAATTATAAATGTAGCCAAGGACTAAAAATGGGCCCTAAATCTACAGTGTTGAAATATAAAATAAAATTAAAAAAAGAAAAGAAAATAGATGTCTAAGAAGTGTTCATACTCCTGTGCTGCTAGGACAGATGATCTTAATCCAAAATAACAGTGATGCTGGGCTCTTGAACCAAAATCATATATATTATAGACTTGCAGATCATAAAAAGCATACAGTATAATCTGCAAGTCTATAATATATATGATTTTTTTTTTTTTTTTTTTTTTTTTTTACACAGCACATCCGGGCCCTCCTGCAGCACCAGCGTCATCTGCCATTTGGTGTTCTCTCGGAGAAGAATATATATAAAATTATATAAAGATTATGAGCCTGGGAAAAAGTATGGGAGGGAGTGTTGGCTTACTTTAAAATCCCTTAAATTATTTTTTAAGTTGCTCCAGCAGCATTTAAGTAACTACTCACAAATGGTCTGTATCTTTTCATTTTACCAGGAACACAGTACTTTCATGTATATCAAAGGAATAAAAGTATTTCCTCCTTTTAAACAAAAGTATTTATCTTCCTTTTTACAAAAGTCTTACATGAATTTTCCCTAATCCAAAATGACCTTTTCTTAGATTATTTTAGATCTTATTAACACTTTGTATCCTGCTAATTTGTTTAACCAATCTAGGTGGCTTTCATTGGTTTTGACATACATAGGAAATACTTCTCGTGAAGGTTTCACATCTAAATCACCTGGAGATTTTTTTTTTTTTTTAATGCACTATCTTCTCAGTGTCACCACAGTCCTACTGAGTCAGAATTTCTGGGATAGAGCCAAGGCATATGTATTTTTAAAACTTTCCAAGTAAGTCTGATTGTATGCCTATTTAAGCATCACTGTTTCTAAAGCACCAATTTGATAAAAGACAATAAGATAATCTAATACATTAAAATCACAACCCAAATATTAACTGTTCATTGAATAACAGTAATGATGGAAAAGCCTAGAATTAAAAAAAAATCTTGGGAATTTAGTACCTGTTTTGATATAATGTAATCCAAACATTCTCTAGGGTAGACCAGATTTCTTGGTGCCTGTTGGGTTGGGGAAGATGAGAACCTGAGAAAATGGTGATTTCTTGGTTATTAGACTTCATCAAAGAAGTATCTTCTTGCTTTTTACCCACTGTTGTTTCTGAAAGATTTTGTTTAAGTTTTGCCTTGACCTGGGGAAATAAGAATTACACAAATTTCAGCTAGTCCTTCAATAGTTAGTGAGAGAAACTGAATGCCAATTGTGCTTATGATGTTTTATCTTTCCAAGAAGTGCTATTGTCTTTAATTATGTACAAAATATTCCCAGAAAAGCATCAGAACTAAAAAAAAAATTCTTTCCATTTATATCAAATATTTCCAATGCATTTATTATAGTCACCTAATATCAATTTAAGAACACTATTTGAACCCTTCTACACATATGGTATTGAATAAGACAGAGAACACTAGGATACAATGATAAATATGTGTAAGTCAAGCCTCTAAGTACCTTACAATCCATTAACAAGAATGAGATTGAAAAGGGTCATTAAACAACAACAGGATAGAATGTAATCTTTAACAATGAAGAAACCACTGAAGGTTTTTAACTTTGGAAGTGATAGATTTAGAACTGTACTCTAAGACAAACTGGAACATAAGAGAGTAGAGACAAGAAAACTATTTAGAAGGCTACTGAAATAATCCAGGAGAGGAATCCCGAGAACTTGAATCAGGTAGGAAAAGACAGCAGAATAAAAAGAATAATGTACGCAATATTTTTTTTAAAGATTTTATTTATTTATTCATAGAGACACACAGAGAGAGGAAGAAACACAGGCAGAGGGAGAAGCAGGCTCCATGCAGGGAGCCCAACGCAGGACTCGATCCCAGGTCTCCAGGATCAGACCCCAGGCTGCAGGCGGCACTAAACCGCTGCGTCACCGGGGTTGCCCTGCAATAAATATTTTTAAGCCAAAGTCTAGATTCAGGGAATGAGGCAGACCCTACAATTTTCTTTTTAATCTGGATGCTTGGAAAAATAATGGCACAAAGAATAGAAATATAAAGTGTTGATAAAGTAGAAACAGATCAAACTCCCTTAATTACTTCTACAAAGGAATGTAAAGGCATAGTTTATTTGGTAAAAGTCAAATACATAAATATTCAAAAGCATCCCATCTCAGATACATGTGCAGAAAGTGATGAAGATGCTATTTTATTTTTAAAGATTTTATTTATTTACTCATGAGACACACACACAGAGAGAGGCAGAGACATAGACAGAGGGAGAGGCAGGCTCCCTGCAGGAAGCCTGATACAGGACTTGATCCCAGGACCCCAGGATCATGTTCTGAGCCAAAGGCAAATGCTCAACCACTGAGCTACCCAGCCATCCCAAAAATGCTATTTTAAAATGTGTCACATTCACTGCAATTTTAAATAGCACATTATCCTATGCCTTGCTGATGAAGGCAAAGCAGTGAACATTATCATCTACTATACAGTCATAGCAGTAAGGTATTTGATGTATATTGATCTACATTTCTGTAATTTACGGTCACTTCTAGAAAAGCCAAGAAGAAAGACTGGTTACCGAAAAGAGGAGAAACAGACTACAAGTTTGTGTTTAGAATGTCAACTGCGAAGAATCAAAAGATACCTAGGTAAAGATACCAAGCAGGTAGTGGGATATGCAGATCTGCCACTCAAAGGATATAGCTGGGAATCCCTCTCACACAGACAAACCTCAGAAGTAGATGGGACCGTTAGGGGAGAAAATAGCAAAAAAGAAGGTAGACAAACTGAAGGAGGGAGGGAGGGAAAGAGGGAGGGAGGGAGGAAGAGAGGGACCAGCAAAAAGAAAAAGACTTGTAAGATAGGGGATGAGTCAGAAGTATTTGAAAGCAAGAGAAGCCAAAAGAGGTAAGTTTCAGGAAACAAAGAGTAGACAATATCAAGTGCTGAGAAAGGCTGAGAAACTTAAGAAAGGGAGAAAGAGAGAGAAAATGGGGGATTTGCTCAATGATAACCTAATTCACTTAACAGAGCATGGAGACAGAATTCTACTTGTAAAGGATAAAGGAAGAGTGAGTGAAGAAATGGAAACAACGGTTATAGATTGCCCTTTAAGAAGTCTAGTAGTTGATGGAAGGCGCTAGTGCATAAAAAGCACGGCCAAGGACAAGTATTTAAGAACACAGACCTGAGCATATTTTAAATATTGATAAAGACACTGGACAGAGTATGAGCCATACTACTGATACAAATAATTTTTTAAGAAATCTCCTTGGGGTAAAGTATTAGGAGGGAAAAAATCTGATAGAATGAAACAAAACTATGACTTTAAAAACAGGCGGGGTGGTTGTCTTGGCTCTGTTGTAACTCCTTTGTGAACTTATATAAAATAACTTCATTTCTCTAGGCTTTCTTGTTGATAATAGTATGATTTCTTTTTTTTTTTTTAAGATTTTATTTATTTATTCATGAGAGACACTCCCTGCATGGAGCCTGATGTGGGACTCGATCCCGGGACTTCAGGATCACACCCTGGGCCGAAGCCAGGTGCTAAACCACTGAGCCACCCAGGGATCCCCTAATAGTATGATTTCAAAGGTTAGCTCACAGGTTGTTAGTTTCATGTTTATCAAATAAAAAATTTCCAATACTACTATTACTAACAGCTAATATTTATTAAGCATTTCTTATGTATAGAAACTTTCCAAGAAATTTATATCTATTAGCTTATTTAAGCCTCACAATGACCTCATGAAAGACAGATTATCATTCTCCATATTTTATAACTGAGACATAGAAAGGGTAAGTAATTCATGCAAGGTCAAACAACTGGTAAGACTCATAAACAGGACTTGACCTTCAGCAATCTGACCTTGAATGGAGTTATGATCTCTCTCCAACAATAAAAGTAAATGTTACCCTTTCCTATCTTTGGGGGCAGGAAGAAAAAAAGAAAGTTATTCCTCCTGTTTTTGCCTATTTCATTAATTATGCACTTAATATACATGAATGGAAAGACATATGTTATTCTGAGACATGTTTTTAAATCATCACATACTGTCTCTTTTCCTCAGCTCTCAAATAGTAGTGTATGCAACTGTGCAGATGGATTTCTTTAAACACCGACATAGCACTTACTAGTGCCAGGCACTAAGTGCCTTCCAAATATTAATCTATTTAATTCTCATGATAGTTCTGAGACACAGATTATTATACTCATTTTTCAAAAGAAGAAAGTAAGGCTCAGAGAAGTGAAATAACCAGAGGTGAAAAACACAACTAGTCAGGAGCACCTGGGTGGCTCAGTCAGTTGAGTGACTCTTGATTTCAGCTCTGGTCATGATCGCAGAGTTATGAGATGAAGCCCTGTGTTGGGCTCCTCACTGAGCATGGAGTCTGCTTAAGATTCTCCCTCTACCTCCCACGCCCCTGCTCTCCTTCTCTCTCTCTAAAAACAAAACACAACTAGTCAGGATGGGGATTCTCAGATCCTCAGACATACAGGTCTAAAATCTATTTAAACAAGACTGACTTTATTCTATCATCTTGGCAGAGCAAGTCTTTTTTGGTGGTTGGAAGCCTTACAAAAGAAAAATGTATATTTCCTTTTTCTGTTCCCACCTCATTTATATAAAAATCTGGAATATGATCATTTCAGTTAATTTCCCATTTTTTTTCCCTCACAAGCCTTTTCAGAAGCAAATATTCCTCTTTTCCTGATTTTCTACACTTGATGAATTAAGTTTGAGGGCTTTTATTTTTTTCTAACAGTTACTGTATTTAGATATTCTATCCCTGGAGATAATCTATTTGTTGTTCAAGTTACTAAGACAGGACTAAGTATTTAGGTCATATGCCAAATCTAATGCATTCTACAAAACAACTCCTTTAAAGGCATATTTTAAAAGTCCAAGCTAAATCACAAAGTTCCTGGCTGACTTAAACAATCAATTGTTTTTAATATGAAAATAAAGGAGCAATATTCCAGAGCTCCAATCATGGAAACAACATAGGTTGTTTCCAGCAACAGCACTAATGTCAGGTGTTGAGGGATAAGCACTAATGAGGACATAGGTTCTTTACCAATGGCCTTCATGAATCTCTTGCTAATGTAAAACTGGAAAATCAGGATCCAAGTATAAATAACAATTCAATATTTTTAAATACTCAGTGGACAACATGTAGTAGGCATAGCATTACCTAATAACCCTAAACTCTCACGCCACATTTTCATGGCAACTCCCATCTCTTGGTTTCCAATTGATGAAAAGACGTTAAAACTGGATATTCATTATTTTTATCATAATCAATCCTATTTTTAAAATTTTCATTAATCTTAATCATAATCTTAATTCAAAGACTGATATGCCTTGAGTGACCTGAATTTTCCATCTTGTTTACTATGTTTGTTTCACTAAAGGTGGAGTTTACGGTTCAGTTCTGTGATGGGAAAGGATAATATATTGCTCCGTACGCAATTCAAGTGCAGACTCAAGTTGCAATCCCCTAAACTTCCAGCCCCATTAATTCCTATGAATAGTTCTCAAAGTCACATTTGCTGTGGAAAAATAAAACTGCCAGGGTTTTTAGCAGGAATTATTACATATTTCTTATAAGGTTATATTAAAAAAAAAAAGATGCTTCTTGTACTTCATGAGATACTCTCTTTAAGAAAGTTCTTTCCTTACCAGCTATGGTTAAATTTAGTATCATATAATCCTCTCATTATTTTCTAGGTAGTGAGACCTATCTGACCATAAAACAACACAGAGGAAAACCTGGTCAATTCAATAACTCAGAAAGAAAAAAAAAAGATTATTATATATATATTAGATGAAAGTACATTAATGTCTTACCTACCAATTGTGATACTGAGTTTTTTTGAGCTGTTTCTGACACATAAAACGGTATTTTCTGAATTTGAAATTAGAAGACTGCAGGAATATTTTTAAAACTTATTTTATTTTTAGAAATAGACTATTACCAGAGACATAACTTACATAATTAATTTAAAAGAAGTAAAAAGGCTTCGGTGCTAGGCAGACTGCATAAAGGAGACTTGTTAAAAAATTGGTAGGTCAATTGCCAAAGTCTAAATAAGGTCTATAGGGATCCCTGGGTGGCACAGCGGTTTGGCGCTTGCCTTTGGCCCAGGGCGCGATCCTGGAGACCCGGGATCGAATCCCACGTCGGGCTCCCGGTGCATGGAGCCTGCTTCTCCCTCTGCCTATGTCTCTGCCTCTCTCTCTCTCTCTGTGTGTGTGACTATCATAAATAAATAAATAAATAATTAAAAAAAATAAAAGAAAAATAAGGTCTATAAATGAGATAATTGTATTATGCCAATACTAATTTCCTGATTAATTATATTAGTTACATAAGATATCCTTGTTCTTTAGGAAATATATATATGGAAGTACTTAGGGGTGAAGGGGCATTGTACCTGCAACATACTCCTAAAGTTTGGGAAAAAATGTGGAGAGATAAGTAGGTAGGTAGGTATATAGGTAAGGAAAACAATGAAGCAAATGTAAAAAAACAGTAACATTGGGGAATCTCCATAAAGGATATATATCAGAATCTTTGAACTCTTCTTGCAACTTTTCTGTAAGGTTGAAATTATTTCAAAATAAAAAGTAAAAAAAAAAAAAAAAAAAAAAGACCAATTTACTGGGCACCACTGCCAGAAGTTTGATTCAGTAAGTTGGAGAGAGGCTTGGCAACTATGTCTTAAAAAAAAAAAAAGATTTATTCATGAGAGACACACAAAGAGAGGCAGAGACATAGGCAGAGGAACAAGCAGGTTCCCTGTGGAAAGCCTCATGTGGGACTCTATCCCAGGACCCCAGGATCACGACCTGAGCCAAAGGCAGATGCTCAACCACTTAGCCACCTAGGTGTCCCAGCATCTATGACATTAAAAAACCTTCCCAAGTATGTTGATGTATGTTGAGATCCACTGGTCTGGGGCATTGGAAAATGAATAGTCAAATAAGGCATAGCTTGCTTCCCTCCATAAATGAAATAATATAAAATTCCAACAGTGGCTGTGACACTGCTTTCATAAGAGGATGTGTTTTATAATTTGCAATAAGAATTGCTTACTTTTCCTTCAATTCACTTAATATTTACTTAATGCCTGTAATGTGTTAAAATAAGTCAGAATTAAAATATACTTTGCCTCTGTTGTCTAATACATTTTTAGAACATACGTGATTAGCTATTCTAAATGGCATTCCAAAGGTATCTTACCTCTGCAAATGTTTGGAGTAGTTTGTTGACTTGAGCAAAGGCCTGGGGAAGAATACCATCATAATTTGACCTTGTACTGAAAGCATGTAACAAACTTTTAGAATCCTGAAGCAGAAATTTCACTGTTGCAAAATCCACTGCACTGTTAGCTGGTAACAGAAATTAAGAAGGAAAAATTATGTAAGAATGATTATTCAACACAAAAATGTCTTTGGTAAACCAATAGAATGTTAATTATGAAACTTAAGAAAAATACACATTTACATCTACATACCACTCTTAATTTCTCTCTCTGGTGTAAAAAGCATTACAATTAAACTTAGCTAAAGACAATGTTCTTGGATTTGATTCAGGTATTCTGTATTCTTCAGAAAAGAGAGATAATTACCAAATAAGTTACAGATTTTCAAAACTGATTTTGTTTCATATAAAGATTACTCTGGAGGCATCAGAAGAGTCACATTTGATGATAAGCATGTAAGTTACATGCAGTACCTCTCATAACCAACTCAGTAAGTACGTAGTGATTTGCCTTCAAATTCCACTTTATTAAATGTAATACTAGATTGGTTGAAAATAATGTTTCCTCTCTCTACACAACTTTAGCAAAAATATAAATAATCTGGGTAACAGTGAGCTGTGGGCAAGAGAAGCTAGCAGAATTTTTTTTCTTTATAAATTAGCAAAGTGAGTTAATTTACAAAAAATATAGGTATAACAATTTTCTCTCAACTAAAATTCCTTACGTGAAATTCTCAAACCAATTAGGAGAGGTAGTGACCATGATTTCAAAGATTTTAAAAGTCATGATTGATGAAATTAAGCAAATTTCTAATGTCACCAAAGCTCAGAACAGAAAAAAATCTTTCCATTATTAGGGTAAAGTGCTATATAACATTTTTCAAAGGCGTATAAAATAGCCATGTTATGCGGCACCTGGGTGGCTCAGTCAGTTTAGCAGCTGCCTTCCACTCAGATCATCATCTTGGAGTCCTGGGACCAAGCCCACATTGGGCTTCCTGCTCAGTGGGCATCTTCTTCTCCCTCTGCCCCTCCCCCTGCTCATGTGCGCTCTCTCTCTCTCTCTCTAATTAAATAAAACCTTTAAAAAAATATAACCATGCTACAAGGTTTTGTTTTATCTTCTTTTAATGTTCACAGTTTCAGAGACTCTGTTATATTCTGAAACACCAGCATGGTTCTTTGCTGGTATGTGAGTTAAAAAAAACTCTGTATCACTTATACAAGTATTTGCTTAGAAATACTAAAAGGCCAAATGAAAATAAAAAGTATATTTTAATAACTAATTATACAATATTCAGTAATCTAATGTGATGGCTATAGCCAGGCTTCTGGCTTCCCCTTTATCAAACAGAGAAGTGTATTTCCTTATGAAGCATGTGTTTTTAAATTCAATGACTATTTTAAATTCCTGTGGAAAAAGATTAAGAGAAGCTATACATAGGATAGAATACAAATTTGATGAACGCAGTAAATCTCCTAAAGAAGGAGAAATTGCACACAACTTTTAAGGTGCTTCTCCAATGCAGTAAATGTTCAGCAGGGCTTATATCCTTGAATTAATCATTTGATTTCTGTCTTACAAGAAGTCTTTACTAAAATTATGTGTGAAAGGGAAATAGCAATGATAAATTCAGTTCTTAGACACAACATAAAAAGAAATCTACATGGTTGGAATACTTCAATGCTTATATGAGGTCAATAATCATTTAAAGTTAATATGAATAACAACATACAAAAAAAGCTTTTCCACATAATTTTCTATGAATTGACCTAAAGGATTCATTCTTTGGGATACTAAATTTAAACACATATGCATAATTCAACATCTGAAGATACCATTGAAAGAGTAAACAAAATCATATACTGTGATTTTTCTAATTCAAGATTATTTTAGAAACAAACAAAAAAAATTATTTTAGGGCAGAAGGCACCTTCATAATTCTATTATGGATTCTTTACAAGTTAAACATTATAGGCATCAGATTCTTCTAGACCAAAGATCAATAAATTATGCACAGTATGATTCCAAACATGATTTTTTAGCAAAATGAAGAGTCATCTCTTCACTTTCCTCCTATTCCCATTAGACCTGCTGCTGCCCACAACCTCTGAGCTATGTGCAAAAGACAAACACTGCCCACCCCTGGAAAAAGAGAAAAATCAAAGACGGCAACTGGATGCCATTTTTAAAAGTAAATCTTGTTCAAAATCATACATGATTTGTGGATTTTCTCTTTTGATAGAACCAACTAAATTATGCTTCCATTTGAGATATGGAAAATGTTTCCATACATCTTGAAAAAATGCTCTGAAGATGTGTCCAAGAGATCGTCCCATGTCTCATATAATAATACTGCTTATAAATAACTTCTATAGTGAAAGATAATGCCTGGAAAATGTCTATATTTTAAAAATTGGTAACTTTAAAATTGGTAATTTTTAAAAGTCATAAGGCACTGAAGCAGATGCTTTAAATCCCCTGAGGTAATTTTCAAAGATACAAAACATTTTCCAAAAGTTAACATTTCAAGGGAAAGAGAGAGAACTGTGGTATACCTCCCAGAGAATATGTTTCTGTTTTTGTTTTGTTTTAGCTTCCAGAATGCTTAATGTTAAAAATCTGTGTTCAATAATTGTTTTACAATAATTGTTTGCACATGTTTCTTATTCTTCTTATTCTTCATTACCTGGTTCTTGTGACTTTAAACTTGGCTTAAACCATCTTGTGCTCAGGTTGTTACTTAATGGCCCTCTTATACTCACAGTTATTTTTCAAAAGTAGACAGGATACACTAATACATAAAATAATAAACAGAATAGATCATTGCATATTAAGAGTTCAAAAAAGTCAAGGACTAACTGAACATCATAATAATTGTTACATATACTTTGCTTTTTAAAGCTATAGTAAGAAAAATCTAGTTGTCTGACTTTAGACAAATCACCCTCTCAGGGCTGGTTAGTCTACTTATAAAACATGAGCTTTCATAACATTTGATCAGTGCTTTTCCCATCTTTTTCTTTTTAGCAGAAACTTTTTTTTTTCAAAGCCTACATGAAATCTCCATATATAAATTGCTAAAAGAAAACTGCACAGCTCAAGTCCCACCAACTTCCCAGGTTTCCCATCAATCTTTCCACCTCCATTCTGTGGCAGCTACAGAAGCACTTCAGGAAGGTTCTGTGCAACATGGCTTTATTAAAAACTACCAAGTAAGTGGCTGACTATAGTTTCTTCTGGTTTGAGAATTCACTATGCACCAAAGACAAACATTTCCTATTCCTTAACCATATATTTTAGATACTTTAATATACTATTTCTAAAATTAGTACATGGAATGTGGTCAAACTTGTGTGTTAAACACAGTAAGAAATGAAAAAAAGTCTAAATTTCACTTACATACCTGATAAACTGTAAAGTATGGTTTTAAAAGTTTCAAACACTATAAAAAATGATAAATTCACTATACCAAGGAATATCAACAGTGATACCATTAATAGTCATAAGCTCTGTGAACTGCATCCATTCATGCAGCTGCCACAAGTTCCTTTTAGAAATTAGAAGTATAAATGATTAAAAAATAATTGACCAATTTCTTATTAATTCATCTTCACATTTCATGGAATATATCAGCTAGCTTGACTTTAACACACATTGCTAAAGACAAAATAAAAAATCCATACCTTTACAGAGATTTTCATATAGGCTCTCAATGGTTAAGAGCAAATTCTTCTCCATAACTAATCCAAATACAGCCAACCAGTGTTTTCTAAAGCACTGTAATAAATGAATTAAAGTCCATGGTGGTTTCAAATACAGCATCTAAAAAGTATTTAGAAAAAATTATCACCTAATTTATTATTCCTATTATTAAAGAGTACCTATTTAGGAGTTTTCCACATATATTTCTGAGCAAAATATATTAGTTGAATTCTTTTTTTTTTTAAGATTTTATTTATTTATTCATGAGAGACACGGAGAGAGGCAGAGAGAGAAGCAGGCTCCCTGTGGGGAGCCTAATGCAGGACTCGATCCCAAGACCCCAGGATCATGACCTGAACCAAAGGTAGACGCTCAACCACTAAGCCACCCAGGTGTCCCTAGTTGAATTCTTTTAAAATTAAAAGATGTTTTATTAAAAGCCTTTCATAATCTCAAAGTGCTAATTCCATTGCAATTTATATTTTTGTAATATTTATTAGTATTGATTCTTATAGTTTAAGAAACTATATGTGCAAAATGAAAGCACTGTTTTAATCAGAAATATAGTTTTGTTTTGTTTTGTTTTTTTTTAGAAGCACAGTTTCAATCAAAAGAGATGGTCAATTTACTTCCCAACATAGTCAATTCTAGGAAGAAATCAATCTATTTCATATAGCTACAGGAAAATCTATATAGAAAAAAGATGTCAATTATTACTAACACTGGCTACACTCTTGCAAAGACCTGTTTATAAAGGAGATTATGTTCATTTAGTACTACAAGATGTCAGCACATCTTGTTTTGAATCATTCACATGCAATGGCTTTCCCAGGCTCTATTATAAAACATCCAAATCAACCCTCTTAGAATCTTCTGATCATTCCTCATCATCTTGGTTCAATACTTGATAATATAATCAAGCAGCAAACACATCATATTGACAAGTATTAGAATCTCACTGAATATCTAGGATAGATACAACCTACAATTGAGAAGATAGGATGTTTCTACTGTCTATAGATGTGAACAGCAAACATTAAGAAGACCACTATTGCCAAATGTAGTATTTTACTGATTATAGGAAAAATAAGGATGTAGAAGATATAAAATATCTTGCTAATAATGATAATTTTTATACTTTCTCATATTTATATGACATAAGCCAAAATACACACTTCTGTTTCTGAATACATACTCCTATGGGAACTCCCTATAGCAGATATTCTAATTTAAATAAACTACAAAGAGAAGTTTTCCTGAATTCAAATTAAGATCCATGGGGGCAATGTGTCTAACACACAGTAAATACCTAATAAATATTCATTCACTGAAAAAATATAAATGATAAAACATGGTTTCTAATTTTTAGGAAATGTCCACCATTTAATTTTTAAGAAGTCATTTCAAAAACTATTAAAAAATGGGATATAGATGATCACAATGAAGCTTACACATTTTATACAATTCATATTTCCTAAGATAAGGTCATAAATCTTTAGCAATGAAAAAGTAATTTTCAACTAATAGAGTTGAAATAACCACCTCCATCCAAAGGTTTCCAAAAGCAATTTTCATTTCTGTTTCTAATACTGAAGATAAAGCTGTTCCAAGAGATTTTTCAAGATCAGATACAATGCTTTCAAGTAGAATGGGTAGTCCAGAATGTGCAGATTCTTCCTCATAGCTCTCTTCTAACCGTGTTGTTTCTTTAAAACAAATAGTTATAAAGCTTTATATTTAATAGTAAATATTTTACATATATAATTGGTATTTGGCTACAAATACTTCATGTATGTAATTAGTATTTAAATTACACAGAAACCAAACCAATACTTTACTTCTTAAACAGTATTTAGAAACATGTATCTATTGAATAATTGTTTTAGATGCAACATAAATATATCACATAAAAAAATGCTTTCTTTTGACAAAAGCCAACAATATATTTTTACTAAAACAGAAATTTAGGAAATGTGTAATATTTTAACTATAATTTTAGTTTTATTACTTTTTTAAAAGAAAAAATTAAAAGAACGCTTTGCATCTATTTATAATAGAAAGTGAAAATTATGGATCAAAGTGTGTTTTCTTCCAAAAATAATATATTCTTCCAATTGCAACTTATATCAGTAAACTGTTTTTGAAAGGACCAAAATCTCTGGTTTAACTACTTTTATGCCCTTCCCTTTTCAAGTGAGTTTTTATTATATCAATTGACATCATTTCATTAACATTACTATTTTGATACCTGAAGGCAACTGCAATGTCTTTATGGCAAAACGCAAAATACTAAGTGGCTTACATCTACAAATACTAAGAATTTAAAGTGATAGTAACAGAATGAACAAACTGAAAGCATGTTACCCTGAAAAACCATAAACATCTTCCTCTGTCTACTAAATGTCATTTTGAATATTATGACAAAAGAAATTTTATTATCAAAAAGGTCAAATAAGTAGCATGTGTATATATGACTTTTTATACAATTACACATAAAAAGGACATACAATATTAAAGATTTCAGCATTTATTTTTCCAACACAGGAAAAAGGTGGAGTGTGTTTTAAAATTATGTCAGGTTTAATATAACATTCTATCAAATATCAAATATCAAGCTATAGAACAGATCATTCTGATAAAAAAAAGATAAAACAATTGTACTGCCTTTAATTTTCTTAAAATTAAAGAATTAAAAAGTTAAAAAATAATTAAAAATTAAAAACTAAAATTAAAAATAAACCTATTAAAGTATTAAAAATATTATAAACTATAATTTTATAGTTTTAATAAAATTTTATAATTTTATTTTATAAAAATATTATAAACTATAAAAATATTAAAAACTATTAAAAATAAAACTATAAAACTATTACTAGAATCTTTCAAACTCTTATTACTGAGTTTTTATTGCATTAATAGAGGATTATGAATAGGAAGCTAATATTAAAAAGAAACTGAAAAGTCCTATTTCTTAACCATATATTTTAGATAGATACTTTGATTTCTCTCCACTTTGAATATTTCCTACATTTCCTGTAGCTACTATTAATTTAAAGGTATAAAATAGCATGTACATGGTGATTATAAACTGTAAAAATGTATGCAAGTATATGAACAAAAATTCACATTAATTTGTAAAAGCATATGTAGAAGGCAGTAACATTAACTGTGTTTTCTCTTGGATTACCATTATAATTTTCATTTCTTTCTTTCTTTTTAAAAAAATTTTCAATTATTTCTACCAGTTGAGTACCAGCAAATATTTCAATGTTATTTTAAATGTACAAGATGAAAATTTACTATTAATTCCAATTGTTTTCAATGTCAGTACATAAAAGATGATATATTTCTAATTATTTGTAGTAAGAATACTACCTGCTTTCAATTGTTGTTTAGATACACAAGGCTGATGACATACATCTGTGTTCAGAGATAAGTTTAGTAACTCTGCACTCAATTCTTCTTTACTGAGTGACTTCACACCACTTATTAGGCCTTTGTTTCTTAAATTTCTATCATCCCTAAGGTTGGGGTTAGGAGGAAAAAAATATTTTATTTTTTATAAGATAAATCACATGGCAACTCAAAACATGGGATCTAATCAGAGGTGGGTGATTCTCAGCACAGATATTCACAAGGGTAACAATTTTTTTAAACAGAGAAGATAAAGGAATTAACACACAGTAGAGTCACAGCATATGAGCTTTTGAAAATAATTATTATTATATATTGAGTGTTTTCCTGGTACCAGGCACTATTCTAATTCTAAGTATTCTATACTTAGAATAGTGTGTGTATGTATGTGTGTGTACACACACACACACACACACACACACACATATATATACATAAAACAAACCATTTAGTTCTCACAGCAAATCTCGTATGTGTGGTATTTTTATTCCCCTTTCACAAATAAAAAGTTGGGGTATAAAGAAGTAATTTGCCCAAAATTATACCTGGTTAAGTGGGAGCTCGATTTGAACATAGGAATATGATCATCTGAAGAGAAATAAATAGCCATAGTAGGAAAAGTAATTTCCACATTGTAGGCACCTACAAATTTACTCACAGTGAGCCTAAGACAAAAATGGTGAGAATTTGCTATTTGCTGAAAGAAGAAAGTATGAGGAGAGCATGGTGCACAAGACCAGTGTATGTGGCTTTAGAAGAAGCCAAGGTCATTAATAAATGGAAAGACATCTAAGGGCTTTAGTGGGAAAGTGACATGATCAAATCCGTGTTTATTAAATTGCTGTTCTGGAATCCAACAGGCTTCCAGCTTTTGTTAATGGCAGAGTAGCCTGATCAGACTAAACTCTCCAGAGATGAGGACTAGAAAATTAGGACGAAAAAGAAAATAAAAAGCTATCTGAAGGCACTAGGGAATAATGAACAGAAGGCAGGAGCTGGGGGGGAGTCTATCCTCAACACAAAGGTACTGTGCTCGTAATATGGTCCATCTTTTTTTTTTTTAAGATTTTATTTATTTATTCATGAGAGGGGGGGGCAGAGATACAGGCAGAAAGAGAAGCAGACTCAGTGCAGGGAGCCCAAATGTGGGACTCGAACCCGGGACTCCAGGATCACACCCTGGCGCCAAAGGCAGGCGCTAAACCTCTGAGCCACTTAGGGATCCCCAAGGGTCCATCTTTTTGCCTGAGGGCATTCTCTAATTCATCAATAGCTTACAGCAGAAATCATAGCCACAATAACTTTGAAGTCAGAAGAGAATGTTTAGAGCTGGACGGAGCAGACAAAAAGTTAAAGGAGGAACTGAAGAAGGGAGGAAACCACACAGAAGAACTCCCAAGTCTGCATATAAATTCTGCCCAGAAAAAACCAACATGCTGCCAAGAGACAAAGCAATCAATAGAAGTAGACTTGGATATGATGCAGATGTTGAAGCTGATAGGGAATTTTAAATAATTTTGACTAATCTGTTAAAGGGTCTAATGGAAAAGGTGACTAGCATGCAACATCACATGGGCAATTTCAGCACAGATGAAAATCATGAAGATTAAACCTAAGTACTAGCAATTTAAAAAAAAAGCCACAGTAACAGAAATGAAGAATGTCTTCAACTGGTCCCTCAGCCAACTTGACAAAGGAAAGGAAAGAAATTACAAACTTGGAGACAGGGCAAATGAAATTACCCAAAATGAAATAAAAAGAGTAAAAGTTTTTTTTTTTTAAATCCAGTAGCTGTGGAACAGTATCAAACAGTCCAACATATGTACCTGTCTTAGTTATCTATTGCTGAGATAACAAGTTATCCCAAAACTAAGCAACTTAAAACAACACTTATTATCTCACATGGTTCCTAAAGGTCAGAAATCTGAGAGCAGCTTGACTGGTTGGTTCTAGTGCAGGCTCTCCAACAAAGTTGGAACATGCTGTTTGTTGCCAAGGGTTGCAGCCATCTCAAGGTTTAATTAGCCCTCATTCATGTGGCTGTTGGCAGGCCCTCCTCCATCGGCTCTTGGCTGGAGGCTTCAGCTTCTCACCATGTGAGTCTATTCCTTACGGCTGTTCATGACATGGCAGCTTGCTTCCACAAAACAAGTGATTTGAGAGAGGAGAAAGCAAAAGAGTGCCCAAGAAGGAAGTCTCAGTCTTTAATATCTTAAGTTTTATAACCTAATCTGATAGTGATAGTATATCATTTCTGATGCATGCTGTCATACAGACAACCAATCCTGGTACAATGCAGGAGGGGACTACTACACAAGAGCATTAATACTAAGAGACAGGGATCATTGGGGTCATCTTGGAAACTGGCTACTACAGTATAATTCTGTAATATCAGAAGAAGAAAAGGAGGGAATGGGCAGAACTATTTGAATAAACAGTGGCTCAGAATTATCTAAAACTGAAGACAGGGCAGCCTGGGTGGCTCAGCGGTTTAGCGCTGTCTTCAGTCCAGGGCATGATCCTGGAGTCCCAGGATCGAGTCCCACGTCGGGCTCCCTGCATGGAGCCTGCTTCTCCCTCTGCCTGTGTCTCTGCCTCTCTGTTTCTCATGAATAAATAAATAAAATCTTAAAAAAAATAAAAAAATAAAAAATAAAACTGAAGACAGATCGGAAACCGAGATCCAAGAAGCTCAGACAACACCAAGCAGGATAAATCCTTCTTCTCTACCCCTCCCCCAAGGTGTGCCCCCACCCCCCAAAACACCAAGGCATATCCGCTAAAAACTGCTAAAGTAAACTCCTAAAAAAGCAAAAGACAAAGAAAAACCCCTGAAAGCATAAAGTAGGAAAACACTCATTACATATAGAGGAACAAAGATAATATTTACATAAGACTTCTTATAAAAACCATACAAACTAGAAGAAAATGGAGTGACTTCTTTAAAATACTAAAAAGAGAAATGCCTGAGTGGCTCAGCGGGTGAGCATCTGCCGGGGTCCAGGATCGAGTCCCACATCAGGCTCCTTGCGGAGAGCCTACTTCTCCCTCTGCCTCTCTCTGTGTCTCTCATGAAGAAATAAACAAACAAAAAAAAATACTAAAAGGAAAAAAAAGTTAACCCGGAAGTTAATCCAGCAAAAACATCTTTCAAAAATAAATTAATAAAGACATTATCAGACAAACAAAACCAAAAATTTCACTTCCAATAGACTTGCACCTGTCAAAGAAATTTGTTTAGGCAGAAGGAATATGACACCAGACAGAAACTGATTCGAGTTTCATTAAAAATAAAGAAGAGTACAAAAAATTGGAACATGAGATTAAAATATTCACCTTTCCCATATTTTTAATTGCTTTAAGTGGTAAATGATGGAAACAAAATGTAACAAAATATGTGCTTATCATTTTTGTTAAGGTAAAATATATGACAATGATAGCACAAAGGATGGGAGAAAGAAACTGCTATAAGATCCTTACACTACAGGAAGTGATACATTATTTTAAGGTCGACTTTGATCAAGTAAGATATATACCATAAATGCTAGGGCAACCATTAAAATGTTTTTTCAAAAAGGTATAAATATTCAATAATGGAGATAAAATGGCACCATAAAAATCCACACCTATGAAGGAAAAAAGAACAGATGAAACAAAATAATTAGCAAAAAAAAAAAAAGGTAGATTTGATCCAAGCAACTAAATGTATGTGATATAAACTCATCAGTTAAAAGACAGAAGTTACTGGGTGCCTGGGTGGCTCAGTTGGTTAAGCACCCATCTCTTGATTTCAGCTCAGGCCATGATCTCAGGGTGGTGAGATTGAGCCCTGTGTCGGGCTCAGCACTGAGTGTGTAACCTGATTGAGATTCTCTCTCTCTCTCTCTCTACCCCTCTCCTGTTGCCCTCTCCCTCTCGTGCTCTCGTTAAAAAAAAAAAAAAAAAAAGACAAGTTGTCAGACTGGACAAAAAATAAAGTACCAATTACATGCTACCCACAAAATACTTACCTTAGTAAACAGGTTAAAAGTACATGGATGGGAAAAGATGTACCATATAAATACTAACAAAACAAAATTGGAATGGTAGTATTAATACTTAAAAAAGTAGACTTTCAGAAACAGAGACATTATATAATGAGAACGTCAATTCTCCAAGAAGACAATCCTAAACCATCCTAAATATGTGTGCATCCTACTACAGAGTTGCATAATACATGAAGTAAAACAGAACTGAAAAGAGAATTAAACAAACCCATAATTATAGCTAAAGATTTAAATACTCCTCTCTCAATAATCTCAGAATAAGCAATCAGTAAGGTAATAGAAAACCTAAACAATACTATCAACCAACTTGACCTAACTGAAATTTACAGAATACTCCACCCACAGGAGCAGAATACAAATTCTTTTAAGTGCACACAAAACATTCACCACAGTAGACCATACTCTTGGCAATAAAACAAACTAATAAATTTTTAAAAAATCATATAAATTAAACTGAAGTGTAACTAAAGTACAAATCGATAACAAGAAGAAAACTGGGAAATGTGCAAATATTTGGAATTAAACAACAAACATCTAAATGTCAAAGGGAAGTTATATTGAATTGAATGAAAATAAAAATAGAACACCAAAATTTGGGGATCCCTGGGGGCCTCAGTAGTTTGGTGCCTGCCTTCAGCCCAGGGCGTGATCCTGGAGTCCTGGGATTGAGTCCTTGCATAGAGCCTGCTTCTCCCTCTGCCTGTTTCTCTGCCTCTCTCTCTGTGTGTGTGTGTGTGTGTGTCTCTCATTAATAAATAAAATCTTAAAAAAAAAAAAAAGAACACCAAAATTTGTGAGATGCAACTGAAGCAGTGCTACGGGTAAATTTATAGCAGTCTCAAACAAATGATCTTAGCTTCTACCTCAAGAAACTAGAAAAAAAGGGATCCCTGGGTGGCGCAGCGGTTTGGCGCCTGCCTTTGGCCCAGGGCGCAATCCTGGAGACCCAGGATCGAATCCCACATCGGGCTCCCGGTGCATGGAGCCTGCTTCTCCCTCTGCCTATGTCTCTGCGCCCTCTCTCTCTCTCTCTCTCTCTCTCTCTCTCTGTGACTATCATAAATAAATAAAAATTAAAAAAAAATTAAAAAAAAAAAGAAAGAAACTAGAAAAAGGGCCCAAAAGGGCATAGGAGTATTTTCTGGGGTCCATGGAAGTGGTCTATATACCAAGAGGGATGGTCTATATACACCAGCATATCTGCTGTCAACATCAGATAGTTAAGATTTGTGCTTTTCAATATCGTACATTGTCCCTCCAAACACAAAAAATCTTATAAAAATAATCATGTAGGGGGACATGGAGTGTATGGATATAAACAGAAAAATGGGAGAATTTTGGTAATTATAGTTGAATACTTAAGACTTTATTAACTCTTCCTCACTTTGAATATTGTTGAAATTCTCCATAATGAAACTTTAATTAAAAATGAAAAATTATCATTATTATATTTTGAAGAATAAATGGAGGAGAGCAAGTGTGGAGGTAGAGAGCATAAATTAGAGTAAAAAGGAAGTGGAAAAACAGCATGGTGGACAAAGGATGATAGCAGGAGAAGTGAAGAAAAGATTGCACAGGACCCATTAAATTGACCAGATACAGATTATAAGGGAGGAGCAGTTACCAAAAATGACTCCTAGGTTTCTGGCTCTAGCAAATGGGTGCAAAGTGGCACTTTTTATTCAGATGGAGAAAAGTTTGGAAAGAAAAAATCAAGAGTTCATTTTTAGAGACCGGTATGTCTCAGATTCTATGACGCATCTAAGTAGAGAAAGCAAACAAGTAGATGAATATACTAGTCTAGAATTCAGAAGAGAGATAGAGGTATGAATTAGAGGTTGCTGGCCCACATTCAGGATAGCAAATTTAAAGTAATTTCTCTTAGAATTAGGCATGATACATAGGACTGGAAAAGGGTTCTCCTAGCACTATCATTATCAATATTATGATCTTCATTAGCATTCATTGAAGTAAAGTAAACGTATCCTCACAATAAGTAGGTGGGACTTACCCATTAGGCACGATTCTGGTCTTTTAAAAGGAAAAAATAAAAAACAGGCTCCCCTTGAACATGATAATGCTAGAATTAATATCTATCTGACTACAAATTTTCATTTCACTAAAACTGTTACATGTATTAATCCCAAAACAGTGACTGCAGAAATAATGGAGAATTGATAAAGTCCCACCAATTTTCATTCTAAATTGAGCTAAAAAGCAGTAATTACATAACAATTCTCTCAAATTTAGCTTATCTCAAATTCAAAATGATTAACAGATTAATTATTCTATTTCAGCCTTCCACAAAGTCCAAGATGATATATTATTGTAATTCTAAATAACTGAGACAGAAATCTTTACTCCTTTAATCCCAAATAGAATACCATCTTTGAAGACAGTTAAAATGAGAATTTTGTTTTTATCTTTTAAAGTTTCATTTTAATTCCACACTAGTTAACATAAGGCTTTATTATAGTTTTCAGGTGTATAATATGATGATTCAACACTTCATATATTTAAAATGATAACTCAGCCCCCTTATAAGAAAAACCTTAGGGCTATTCATTTCATTCTTTCTTTTCTTTCTCCTTTCTCTTTCTTTCTTCTCTCCTTTCTCTTTCTTTCTTTCTCTCCTTTCTCTTTCTTTCTTTCTTCTCCTTCCTTCCTTCCTTCCTTCCTTCCTTCCTTCCTTCCTTCCTTCCTTCCTTCCTTCCTTCCTTCCTTCCTTCCTTCCAAGATGTTATTTACTTATTTGAGAGAGAGAGAGAGAGAGAGAGCAGGGGCAGAGGGAGAGAGAGAGAAGCAGACTCTCTGCTGAGGAGGGAACCCCAGTCTGGGCTCAATCCTGGGACTCCAGGATCATAACCTGAGCAAAGGCTGGCAGACACTTAACTGACTAAGCCACCCAGGCACCCTGGGCTTTTCACTTCTATAATTACTGCACTTCATCCAGAATTTAGGCATGACTGTGAAACTGTAAAACAAAAACAAAAACCTCCACTTTTCAATGAATACAACTCAGACTCAACCAACAGTTTAAAATTGCTCTTCTCATACACGATGGGTACAACGTTGCTTAACATTAGGTGAGTTTTCTGCCTGTGTCTCTGCGCCTCTCTCTCTCTGTGTGTGTCTCTATGAATAAATAAATAAAATATTTAAAAAAAATAAAGTCTTTAAAAAAATTAGGTGAATTTTACTTCAGAACTACGTTATGAAAATACTAGTTGGGAATGGAGGGGAAGGAGGAGAAAGGTGTGTTGGGTGCTACCTTAAGTCCTTCACGTATATATTATCTGAGAACGCACAATAACTCTAAGTACTTGCAGTAACTCTTACCCTCCCTATATTTTACACGTGAGGAAACAAAGTTAAGCAACTTCCACAGGTCATGAGGCTGGTTAGCAGGAAATCCTGGACTGCAGCCCTCACTCAGTGACCCAGCACCAGAGGTGTACCTCCAACACAAATTGCCTCTTCCCCACAAACTAATTAATCAACCCTCTTGCCTCCTGACCAAAAATTTGTCAAGATTTTCATTTCTGAATGATTTTATTGGCAGATTAAATTGACTGTCCCCAGCTTTTACCAAAGGTTTCTGAATGTCACATAAATAAAATTGACATAAGACTTCATAAGTTTCAAATCTCATTCTTCTATAGCTTACAGGTTATAAGAATGTTATACAGAACTGGATATGCCTACGGGCAGATTTTGAAAATCATGTATGCGTTTGATCCTTAGTCTGGTAGGTAAACTGTAACTTTTTTTTTTTTAAGATTCTATTTATTTATTCATGAGAGACACACAGAGAGAGGCAGAGACATAGAGACATTGGCAAAGGGAGAAGTAGACATCCCACGGGGAGCCCAATGTGGGATTTGATCCCAGGACTCTGGGATCATGACCTCAGCCAAAGGCAGATACTCAACCACCAAGCCACCCAGGCGCCCCACAATATGATTTAAAAATTCTTTGGTATAGTTGCTATTTAAAAAAAAAAAAAAAGAGTAAAAGGACTATGAGACTCACGTGCACAGAATAACAACAGAACAAGGGAATAATTCCTGGTACTGAAGACAGCATTTTAATACTCGATCATCATTGTTCTCGTCACTCAGTCCATCTGCAAATTTAGCACAAACAATGATCAATAAAACCATACTAAAAATATGGACAGTCTAGGCTGTATCTACAAGTCAGATGTATTTACAAGCCAGAAACATCTAAAAGAAAGGACACTTCTTAAATATAAGACACAGCAAACAATGCCTTAATAAGGCAATTCTTAATTCCTTAAGAATTCTGGATCTAGAATTCAGGTAGCATTTTAACAAAGTAGCTAGTTTACTACTAAAATGGAAGAGGATAAGACTACTAATAAACACAAAAGAAAGAAAGTGATCAGTAAATGCCATATTAGAAACCTAAAGCTATGAATTCTAGTCTCATTTCAGTCACTTAGAGACTATAAATTATAGGATTATACAATGCTTAAAATTATCTCTACTTAAAAGAGGTCTGTAAAATAAAGAGCTATGGTTCTACCAGCAACAGAACCACGTTTTATGTGTCTTCTTTTCCTTAATCTCTAGGCAATTAACATTTAGACATGTATAGGAAAAGGCAATATGGGCCCTAAGCAGAAAACACAAAAAAATTCCTACCAAGTGTTAATCAGTGGCTGACAGAGTGTCCTCTGGCATTCTACAAGCCCTGAAGCATGATGTAAAAGTTTGATTTTTGTGAAAATAATGTAATGTGTAGAAACAAGACAAAGACAGTGTTTTTCCTAAGTCCTTTATACCCCCTGCCTCAAAACTCCCTATGTACTTAATATGATTTCAAGGCCACACCTTATACCCACTTCTGGATAAGAATCTTCGGAACCTGGACCCAAAGAGGCCCTTGGTGAGTCTCTTATACACTAAAATTCAAGACATACTAGACAAGAAGTCTGAACTTTGTTCCCAGATTGTAATTTTTTTCCTTTTAACTTTTAACCTATATTACTTAGTCCCCCTAAATATTCGGATTAGAAAACTTATTCATTCAAGTAATAAATTTGTATGTAGGGCTGAATTTGTACCCAAGCCCCTGTACTAAGTAACTGGATATACGAAGACAAACTCTTGAGGAACTCACACTTTCTAGTGAAGTCAAGACAGAACTAATCTCAGAGCATAAGCCCGAGGGAGATGTGATTCATTTATCAGATGACCAGTAAACTAGCAGACATATATTACAGCAACTGATTTTCCTTCTTTTAGCCCAAAGAGTTAAATACCTCAATAAGGCAAAATGGTAGCAAAAAAATCATTAGTTAGCTTTAAACAATTCGGTGAACAAAAGATTTAAGGTTATAGTATACTGCTCTAAAGTTATCAAAGTTCAAGATTATCTGTTTTCTCACATTCTCTAGAATATGTGAGGTCTGAAAACCTAAAACTGCAAGAATATTCACAAAATATTTATTCAACAAGTGTTTTTGAGCACCTGCTCTAGTACTGTTTAAAGTGAACAAAACAAAAACTCTGGAAACAGATTGATCTAGGTTTGAATCCCTGCTTTCCCACTTACTAAATATGTAATTTTGGGTGACTGCTTAACCAGGAAAATGAAAATAGGAAAATTTATAGGAAACGGCCCAATAAAAGGTACTTGCTGTTGCCTTTTAAGTAACACATATTACTTAAAACTCAGTTTAAATGGCACACTTCTACTCACAACACCAAAAACTCCCACAAAATTCTGTATATAGTTAATATGATGTTTAATATTTAATAGAATTTAAGCTTCTCAACAGCAGGCTTTGTTTATATCACCCAATGATGCAGCCTCAGAACAGTATCTGGTATAGATATTTGGCAAATACAGGAATTAACAAAAATATAATAAAAGAAAATATAAAAATTATGGAAAAAATGTCAGGTACGGGAGTAGAAGATATCTTTATTTTGCCCTTATTATAAAAACAAAATAATTTAGAAAACCTAGAAAATGTAAAGAAAATTAAAATAACTCATAATTCCATCAGCTAAATATACCCAACATTCACCATCTGTAAGTATATAATGCATAATCTAACAAATTTGGTATGATACTTTTTATTCTTTTAAATCCTATTTTATCATTAACATTTTTTGAAATGGAGCAGTATTCCCTCAAATAGCTATAGTATTGTATGTAAGTTCAACTGTTAGGTTGTTTCAAATTTTTTGCTGTATTAATAATGCTATTATGAACCTTATTTATAAAAATCACTGTAAGCATCTCTAATTATGTCTTCAGAATACAGTTCTAGAAAGAGAATTGTATCCTTAGGCTTCCTGAAACACAATGATAAATTTCTTCCTGAAAAGTTACGTTTATATTCCCAAAGCACCAAAGCACTAGTATGATGCAAAAGAATAACTTTAAACTTAGAGGCAGGGGCAGCCCCGGTGGCTCAGCGGTTTACTGCCGCCGCCTTCAGCTCAGGGCATGATCCTGGAGACCCAGGATCGAGTCCCACGTCAGGCTCCCTGCATGGCGCCTGCTTCTCCCTCTGCTTCTGTCTCTGCCTCTCTCTCTCTGTCTCTCATGAATAAATAAATAAAATCTTTTTTAAAAATAAAATAAAAAATAAACTTAGAAGCAATAAAAAGAAGAAAGAAAAAAGGGAAAGATATAAACTAAAAATATACATAAGAAATTAACAACATTAAAAATGGCAAACAGGAGAATACCTGCAGTGAACAAGGGGCTGACTAGTTGTACTTGTTTTGTAAATTACCTGTTAATAATCTTTGTCCATCTGGGGAAAGTGATTTTTTGTTTTTCTGGTCAACCTGTATAAGCTTTTCATATAACGAAGACCCAAGAGAATTATTACCTATACTAGGCCATAAACCATCAAGTATTTTAATATATTAACTCAAGCATCTTCACGATCATTCTTCCAGCTGGAGGTTATTCTCCCCCATTTCATTTACTTAGTTTTCTCATCTTTAACTTGCCCCAGGTCAGGTTATAAACCCAAGTCAATCAGATTTCAAATCCTATTCTCCTCTCACCATACTAAACACTACATCAAAAAAATACAATTTTTAAAAGAGTTAAGGCTAAAGTTAAAATTATAGTCAATGAAGGCAATTTAACATGTATTATCTACATTTATTCTTTTAATGGAAAAATGCTTGTTTAAGTAATATAATAATACTCGATTCTGTAAAAGGAAAACAATACATACAAAATTAGCAATTATTAAGAGCTGGTTGAAAATGTGCTTGACATTTGTAATGTGTAATAAAAGGTCATTTTGGTTTTGCTTTTTCCAAATAAGAACCTTAATTTTACTCATGAATCCTGAATTGAGTTTTCTCATAAGAATATTAGTTTTTCATTAGAATACAAAGTATAATTTTATTATGATAAAAAGACTAAATATATTTCTGATATCATAAAATCATTATCAACAGAAAAACTTATTATATACATTGTACTTTATATAAAGAATGTTTTTAAGACAGTGAAGAAAACAGTGGTAAAGACAAACACACAAAGGACTTACTGACATAGACAATTATAAATAATCTATTATTATACCTATTACATTATAACTAAAAGCAATTTCCACAATTTAATAAAACTAAGATCAAATAATACCATTCAAACATTAAAGTGAAACATGGATTCAAGGAAGACACTCAGAAATTCAAACAGCACAGAAGTTCGAAACCACTACTACAAGAGGGAGACAGACCATAAGAGACTCTTAATCACAGGAAACAAACAGGGTACCTGGAGTGGATGAGGGTAAAGAGATAGGGTAATTGGGTGATGGGCATGTGATATAATGAGTACTGGGTATAGGCCTGATAAACACTGACGTCTACCTCTGAAACCAATAATACATTATATGTTAATTAATTGAATTTAAATGAAAAATTTAAAAAGCATACATAAATGGAAAAGTCATAAGAAACATACCAACACATCTCTAAATAACAAATGTGGCCAAAATATCTATTCTCCAATGAGCTCTAAAATAATTTTCAGGGGTGCCTGAATGGCCCAGTAGATTGAGCATCAGTTCTGGTAGGTGCTCAGTAAGAGGGACCTATTTCATTCTGCTCAGGTTAAGTGTCTGCCTTCGGCTCAGGTCATGATCCCAAAGTTCTGGGATAGACCCCCACGTCAGGCTCCCTGCTCAGTGAGGAGCCTGCTTCCTCCTCTCCCTCTGTTACTCTCCCTGCTTGTGCTCTGTCAAATAAATAGATGAATAATCTTTAAAAAAACAAAAGCAAAAAAATATTTTTTTCTATTGAAGAAATAGATATGCCTTTTAGGAAAAGTTCTGAACCTCTCTCTGTCTGAATTTCCTCATTTATAAAATAGGGCTAATAAGAGTATCTTCCACAAGTACTAAATGATTTGAATGAGATATCAGCTGGTAAAGCACTTGGAAAAGAGTCTGGAGAATAATGACCATGTAAATGTTATCCATTATTTATTATCCATACTATTGCATGTTTATCCATACTATTATATAATTATCTTTATCCATACTATTATCTTTATCCATACTATTATCTTTATTCATACTATATCTATACTATTATCATCTTTATCCATACAATTATATAATATCATCTTTATTCATACTATTATATAACAAAATATAGTTTACATCAACAAACTAAAAAAAATAAAAGGTTAAGAGTAAAAAAATTCCCCTCTCCTTTTAAGGTTTGGGGTTTTACTGATATGATGGTTTAGAGCAGGGGTTTTGTTAATTGTGTGGTTGTTCAAAAAAAAAAGGCTTGTCTGTTAGCAATGCATACCAAAGTATTTATGAGTAAAAATGATATGATACAATATCTGGGACTTGCTTCAAACTACTGCAGGAGTTCCAAGAGTAGGAAGAAGAGAAAAGGAAATGAGAGAATAAACAAGAATGGCAAAATGTTAATAATTACTGAAAAAGAGTGAGAGGTACACAAGGAGTCATACATTTTCTACCTCTGCATTTGAAATTTTTCATGATTTAAAGTAAAAAAAAAAACCACCTAAGATGTTCAATTTAATATAAATGTTCAAAAGTTTTAGTATTTTCTTAACTGTAATATTTGGGATTTTCCTTTAAAAGCTTTTAAACATAACACATGAAGCTCCTGCTCAAAATGCATAAGGATTATATGTGGAAAACATTAAGAGCTAGTAGATATTTGTAAAGGAAATGAATGAATGAATGATGGAGGCCCTTTTTCTTCAAAGATTTAAGACTAAAGGATTGTGCCAAAAGCCTTCTCAGGGTTAATATCATGATTAGATTCATCATAAGATGAATTCTTTCATATCTTATGGTGTACATGCATATAGTAGACAACATAAATCCATGATATTTAAAGTAGCATAAATGTGCATAAATAATGACTGTGAGTTGAGAAGAAACAAGGTTTTAAAGAATGAAATAAATCCTGGAAATTATGTATAAACTCTGCAGAGGCAACAGTGTTGCTTTACACATAGATTTTTTTTTTCCCCACAAAATACTACATATAAATAACAAAGAGCATACTTAGATCCTAAGACTAAAAGTGATTTAAAATGACTGAAAGAAATAAATCAAGAGAAACTCTACAGACCTTTATTATACAAACACCTCCTTATTTACAGATTCTGACAAATCAGAGGAAAACAATGCCTCTCTATGCATTATACAAACTGCACAGTGACAGATTCTAATCAGTGACAGATAAACCTCAATCATGTACTGGCCTCATCAGTCAACAATGGTATTCAAAAACAAACAAAAAAGAATCCCAGTTACTATAACATAGAAAACCATACATATAGAACTATACAGTCACTATTTGTGAAATAGAGACATAACCTAAGAAGGTCTAGGAGAAGCAAAAAAAGAAAAATCCAAGAACCCCTAAACCAAGCCTAGTAGAATACCCCCAATGATCACTACGTCTGGCCATTTCACATTCCAATGATTATAAATTTTTTTTTAAGTTTTGCACCATTTTCCCCCAAAAATGAGTCAGCACCCAAACAAACCTTAATCAGGAAACACCCTGAAAGAACAATACTTACAAAGTTTTTGAGAGGCAAGCTGTATTGACTGACCCCATAGCTTTCTATCTTGATTTCTGAGACTGTCATTGATGAAATGAACTGCAGGTATAGCTTTGTGCTGGGCATGTTTTAGCAATTTTCCTGCCTTCATACGATCTAACTCTTGTATAACAACCCAGGGAATTATTAATACAAGTCTGTCAAAGCCTGAAAAATAAAAAAATATTTCTTAGAAGTCAACAAATATTTATTGCGCTGCTAAACTGAACTGCTATGGAGCATTAGAAGTTTTAAAGTAAGGAATTCACAGTCTAAATGAAGGGATAATACATAAAAAATGGGAATTAAAAACAGATGTAACTATGGGGCACCTGGGTGGCACAGTCAGTTAAGTGTCTGACTCGGTTGCAGTTCAGGTGATGAAATCTCAGGGTCAGGAATTGAAAGCCCCACGTCCCACTATGAGTGCAGAGCCTGCTTAGGACTCTACCCCTTCATGACTGACTGCTGTGCTCTCTCTCGCACTTTCTCTCTCTCAAACAAATAAAATAAATCCTTAAAACAAAACCAAAGAACGGATAGAAGTATCAAATGAATGTTACAAAAATAAATACTATTGGAGATCAAAGAAAAGTAACTGGACTGTTAGGTTGACCTGTGAAGGCTCTTTTTAATTTATGTTGATTATTTATGTTTTAATACATATACTTCATAACATATCTTTTTTTTCCATAACCTATCTAAATGGAAATATATTTGTGGGAAAAAAAACACCCCACATCATTGTTAATATGAGAGGCTCAGTTGGTTAAGCATCTGCCTTCAGCTCAGGTCATGATCCTGGTGTCCTGGGATCAAGTCTCACAACAGGCTCCCTGCTCAGTGGGGAGTCTGCTTTTCCCCTCCCCCAACCCCATGCTCATGCTCTTTCTAACAAGTAAATAAAATATTAAATAAAATATCAACTCAAATAAGGTAATCAGAATCATGCTTTATAAATACCTGGGATTTCTGTTGTCTTCAAAACTCTAACAAATTTGAGGTGATTCATCAGAATATTCGTGTCAATAACAATGAGAAGCTTTTTATCTGAAGCAGTATTTGCTAGAGAAAAAGAGCAAAGTTAGGATTTCATGACACTTGATAACAGACTTGTATAATAACTAAAATTTTGATATCATAGAACTTTGATGGTATTCGTAAAGGAAGGAAGTCCTTTGACAATTAAAAAACTATGTTTAATCCTTAAAAGAACAGTAATCAATGTTTAATTATCTAGCAGTAGACCATCATGAATTGTTTGGGTGGATTTTAAATTATTAACTAATTTGCTCCAGTAGTAACTATGTTTGCCAAACTTGTTCTGCATCACTAGTAGTTATACACTTAGGATTTACAAGATAATTTGAATACACTGAGTGAAATATAATTGAAAAGATAAATACGTGTAAAGGAAAGAAAACAGATAACATTAGTGCTATTATCTCACAGGGACACTGTGAGGATCAGATAAGTTAATGCACAGGAAAGGACTTAGTAAATTGAAAAGTGCAACGTGAATGTAATGTAGCATTACATTTTTATAAATACAATTCAAAATAGTACGCTAATAGACTTTGGATAACATCTATCATTATCTTCTAGCAGGAAGAATGATCAAAACTTTACTACATAAATAAGAAACCCATGAATATAATAATACTTTTGAGCAATCAATCTGCATTATTTCTTTTTTTTAAGCTTTTATTTAAATTCCAGTTAGTTAACCTACAGGGTAATATGAGTTTCAAGTGTAGAATTTAGTGAGTCACCACTCACATACAACACCCAGTGCCATCATTACAGGGGCCCTCCTTAACCCATTACCCATTTAACCCATCCCCCTGCCTACCTCCGCCCCAGTAAGCCTCAATTTGTTTGCTATTTGTTTTCAGTGCTTTACATAGTTGAAATTGTCAAAAGTTATGATTAAAAGCAAGAATAAAAGACAACTCTGATAGTTGATAGCAGAATAAAAGATAATCCTGATTACTGACCATTGGCAAAAAGACAAAGAAAATATTTCTAACTGCCTAATAATGCGAGATGTGTAAAACAAATAAGACAAATATTAGACCTGACTCCTATAGCTAGAAGACATATACCATATTTTATTTTTCCAAACGAGCACATCTTAACATTTTTCATCTAAATATTGTAAAAATTGTATGTTGGCTCATTAATTCCTAAGAAAGCATAGGAGATCATAAACATCATCATCTACACATAGGGTATACCAGCAGAGGAATGTACAGCATCTTCCACCAAGTCAATCTCCATGCTTGTTAGCTCTCCAGAAGAGAAAGCCACAGGTAAATCCATACTTTTTCCCACACGTGCAGCATGGAGCTCTTCTACTATCTGCATCTAAATTGTAAAACACCCACAGTAAAATATTTTGAATTATCTACTTGCAGATTAATAAGATTAGAAAGCAATTAATTCTAATAAATAAACTTAAGATGAAGTTTGTGGGAAAAAAAATCACAGTAACATGAAAGCCGCATGGTGAAAGAATACAGATTTATAAACATACACAGGGTTTTAAAACTAGCCTTTCTCTTGCTGTTTCTGTCATTTAACTACCTTGGGTCTCTGTTCATTGACAAAATAAAAATGTTAAATATCTATTTCCCATTAGTATTTTTGTGAGGATTAAATGAAATAATGTGAAGTTTTCACTTCAATGTACTTTGGGAGCCAACTATCTTTTCCTCTGCACGACGAGTCTCTTGAGATTTCTAAGACTCTTGATAAACCATCAAAAACTGAAATATAGATTTTAAGGCCCTTCTCACTTCAGGGAAGTAGTTTTCTGATGTGTTTTGATGCAAAGAATTATATATATAATCTACCTTTGGCACAGGGATGAGAAATCTTTCTTCTATCAGGAACACTGACCCACAGGACAGAAAAATACAACCAACTATCACAAAAAATAATCAATATGGGGGATCCCTGGGTGGCTCAGTGGTTTAGCGCCTGCCTTTGGCCCAGGGCGTGATCCTGGAGTCCCGGGATCAAGTCCCACATCAGGCTCCCTACACGGAGCCTGCTTCTCCCTCTGCCTATGTCTCTGCTTCTCTCTCTCTCTGTATCTCTCATGAATAAATAAACAAAATCTTTAAAAAAATAATATGGTTTTTAAGTCTTCTTTAAATAGAAAACTACAAAGTGTTTCATGAATCTAATTTTAATTTAGCATCAAGAAACATAAAAGTCTATGCAATAATTCCATGAGGGTCAATCAGGAGATTCTAGTTGGGAAATGAAGCAACAGGTAAGAAAAAAAAAAAAAAAATATATATATATAGATACACACACACACACACACACACGCATGCACTCTCATTTTCACTGAATAACATTTTCATCTTACTGCTGACTAGATAAATGGAGCAAACATTAATATCATATTGAATTTTGGTAAGCTTAGGCATAAGCATGCAAAAGTATGATAACATTAAGTCAGAATTCATGTAACTTGTAGGCTATAGGCTCCACGCTATTTAAAAGTTTAGAACTTATTAGAAACAAAGACAAAAGATGGTCAATTAAATGTAAATATTTTTCCAAGTATTTTTCACAACTTTGTAAAACTTACATATTGATTTAAGTAAAGATATCAATATTATTTTTGTATTACCAAGGTTCTCATAGTCATTATTTTTTATTAATATAAAAACTGACTTAATTTCATTAACATATTCAAAGTAAATAAGTATATCAGTAACCTCTTGATCTGTATCTTGAATACTTTCAAGTGACACTGAAGAACATGGAGCTTCAAAACTCTGAAATGAAAAGTAATTTTTTTAGTTAAGAATGAAGCATTTACCTAGGGTAGGGTTTTCAACCTTGGCACTACTGGAATTTGGCATTAGACAATTCTGTTTTGGGGGCTATGGTGTGCTTTATGCCGTTTAGCTCTATTCCTTTCTTCTACCCATCAGATACCAGGAGTACAATCATGACAATCAAAAATGTCTCCATCAAGTCAAGAGCCAAATGCCCCCTATGGGGCAAATTGCCCTTAGATGGGAACTGTCCCTAGAATAGAAAACCCTCATGCTATTAAGTCAATGAAATATGGTGGAAATTCTTTAAAGTTTACTCATTCATATATACATTCCTAAAAATACCCATATTCTAAGAATAGAACTATGTGCCACCCTGAGAAACAGAAAGAATCACAGTCCAGTAAACAAGCTGGCCTTTAGTGGTGGGAAATTTTCACCCAGAAGGAGCTGACCCATTTCAAAAAAGTGATATGACAGGGGATCTCTGGGTGGCTCAGCAGTTTGCGCCTGCCTTGGGCCCAGAGCATGATCCTGGAGTCCCAGGATCAAGACCCGCATCGGGCTCCCTGCATGGAGCCTGCTTCTCCCTCTGCCTGTGTCTCTGCCTCTCTCTGTCTCATGAATAAATAAATAAAATCTTAAAAAAAAACAAAAAACAAAAAACAAAAAAGTGATATGACAAAACAGCGCGAACCTGAAGATTAAGACATGGCTGAAGGGGAAAAGCTGAAAACTGCATAGTTGTATTATACATGGGTAGAGCACCACAGGTTTGTGCTTTAATTTTGTGTGTTAGCAGAAGTTGAAAATCTCTCTATTAATTCCCATTTTTCACTGGCACTTTTGCTAAGCAGATGAGACCTACCTGACCCCATGTACAGGTAACAGGGAACTCAGCAAAAGCCACTACTAACTAAACCAAATCATCTTCTAACAATTCTCCAATATAACACCAAACTCACATATATTTTACAGGCAGGTAGATATTGTATAAATTACATACTCTCTTTAAACAAGTGTATCATATGTTGTTTTACTGGGAATTCAGCTTCCATCCTAACTTCCCAACAACAGTATTCACATGATATAATACCATATACATCATACGCATAGGTTCATTATAGCTTTACCATTCCCATGATTCAGGATTTTACCATCTCTTCTCCATCTGACTTCAAATCTCACTAGATCCCTAAAGTTCTCTCCGACTAAGAAATGTCAAACAAGCTAAAGGTTATTATCAGAATTTCCTGCAACTGCTGATGTTTGAAGTCTTGCTGTTCATTTACTTAAGTCATTACCACCCTTCACTCTCTTGACCACAGGCCACTTCCAGTAATTTCAATAAATTTTCTATCACTCTTCCAAACCAGGAAAAGTTCATGTCAATTGTTCCTGAAAGACCTCTCCCTATTGAAAAAGAAAGTCTCAGTGGGCACTTAACTGTTTGCCTCCTCCTACCCTGATTTATTAAATAAATGAATTAGGATACAGCCTTCCCTGGGGATGGCAAAAGGGAGTACCAATAATGGGAGTAACAAAGGTTTTATCTACTGGAGTGATTCTAAGCAGATTACATTGCTTCCCTGATAATGTTTCAGTGGCTTTCCAAACCATATTCTATAGGATATAAGATAAAATAATCTTTCCCATGCGATACAAAACAATCCATTGCCTGAACCCTGGTTCCTCTCCTATACATAGATTTTCCACATATTTCAGCCTTAGTCATACTGAACAACTTAAGTGCCCATGTATGCTCTCGTCAAGCAACCTCATGAGTATATCATTACCACATTGGCCCTCTGTCCCAGTAGGACTCTTATTCTTTGCTTTACATACCCTTCACTACCAAGCTCAAGAATCTCCACCTTGGTGAGCCTTTACTTAACTTGCCCCCAAATTTATTCTAACACCAGCCCAATTCTTAGAGCTCTAATATTTATTTCACTGAATTGCAACCACAGTTGTCTACTAACGTGTTTCCCTGGGAACTTCCTAAGGAACATCTTATTCATCTCTAAATCCCTAGAACCTAGAAATGTACCTAATACAAAACAGGTAGCTTTAATTAATGTTTGATAAACCACTAAATTGCTACCTCATAGACTTAAAGGATTAAGTGGGATGCTGCTGATAAAAGTGTCCTATAAACCATAAATCTTTAGAACATTAGTTTGCAATGAGGGGGAGGGTGCAAACAAAGGGGTCTCTATCAAAAGACTATAAAACTATAGACTATAATAAAGACTATAGTCAAAACAAAAGACTATAAAACTTAAGAAACAAAAGAAGCCATTTTCTCTTAGGAAAACATAACAGGATTGCTAAATAACAGGATTACCCAATTCAGAAAAATAACAATTTTTTTCCTTGTAAAGTGCACTCATCATTTTAGGAAGATAATTATCTATTGAAGACCTTGTGAGGAAAACACCAAACATAATATAAAGAAGATTAGCTATCAATAATATGCTAAAGAGAATATATTCGGGGCACCTGGGTGGCTCAATGGTTGAGCATCTGCCTTTGGCTCAGGTCATGATCCTGGGGTCTTGGGATGGAGTCCTGCATCTGGCTCCCTGTGAGGAGCCTGCTTCTCCCTCTGCCTATGTCTCTGCTTCTCTCTCTGTGTCTCTCATGAATAAAATTTTTAAAAAAATGAGAGAGAGAATATATTCAAGATAAGAACAATATTTACTTTCTGCTCCTGTGTCTAGATGACTTTAAGTCAGATAAGACTGCTATCAAAGGAATAGCTGATAAAGTTTTAATTCCAATAACTGGAAAGTAATCATGCAAAAATCGCTTCCCCTACAACTTAATATTCAAGCCATGTACCTCTTTTGATTTATGTGGTAATCCTATTTAAAGATTAAAAGAAACTGTAAGGTACACTGCTGGGGATTTCTCACATTGTTCTTTAGATGCACAGTACAGGGGGACATCAAGCAATAACACAAAGATGTTCACTAAACATACTCCCAACTTCAAATTCCGTTCTCACATTTTACACTAGAACCGGTTATAACACAAGAAAACTGGAGCTTTCCTTTAAGAAAGCAATAAAAAGGACAAACTCAATTGTTTCCTTCTTTGGACTCCTTCAAGTTCACTGAACAAAAAGTACTCTCTCCAGCCCGTCCACCTCTCTAGTTATAATCCCTCTGTTTTTCCTAAGTATCTTACATTGCAATCTACAGGCTTCATTCCTAAAAGCAGGTAGGCTCAACCAGCCCTGTTTTGTTTTGTTTTTTTTTTAAAGGATGTTATTTATTTGTCTTAGGGATAGAGAGAGCACAAGCAAGGGGGAGAAGGGGAGGGGGAGAGACAAGTAGACTCCACATAAGCGCAGAGTCCAACACAGGTCCCAATCCCATGACCCTGAAATCATAACTGAGCCAAAATCAAGAATCGGGCTGCTTCATCTACTGAGCTGCCCAGGCGCCCCTCAACCAGCCCTGTTTAAAAGCAGTCTCTAAATTTCAGTCCAGGGCAGCCCCGATGGCCCAGTGGTTTAGCACCACCTTCAGCCCAGGGTGTGATCCTAGAGGCCCCAGATCAAGTCCCACGTCGGGCCGCCTGCATGGAGCCTGTTTCTCCCTCTGCCTGTGTCTCTGCCTCTCTCTCTCTCTCTCATGAATGAATAAATAAATAAACAAACAAACAAACAAATTTCAGTCCACTGGAAGTTCTGAAGTTCCCAAGGTTCTAAAGTTCTCTTAAAGGTAAATCATTTAATCTGCCACAGAAACAAGGCCATAGAGATAGAGTTCTCAAATTAATTGCCACACACTGATTTATTACGTAACTTAAAAGCAAAATAGATGTGCCAACCTTTCCAACCTGGATCGCTGTATATGTAGTTCCCTTTGGCTGGAACATCCTGCCCCACCTGGCCTAGGTTACCCCCCTCCAGGAAACCTTTCTCAAGTAATCCTTCTACAGTGTACCAAAGACATTACTCATGGCTTTGTATTTCCATGTTAAGTGGTAAGTACTTATCAGACCTAAGGTGGTTGATTGTGTGTTCTCACACGAAGAAGTCTCTGAAAGAAGAGACCATGAATGCAGTGCCTGGCATACAGTGGCACTCCAAAAATGATTGTTCAAGCAATAGTTATTCAGAATATTAACCCCTGGATATTCTATAGTACCCAGGGTTACAGAAGAGCTTAACAGACTGTCACAGTGCTTTTCGGAATCGGAAAGAACTATCTGTAACCTCTACTTTCTACCTTTTTGTACATTACCTTTTATTATGGATCCTTAACACTTGTCAGGATATCTTCCTAAGGAGGTTGGAATTAAAGGAGTAAGGTAAAGGAATCAACACATATCTTCCTGACTAAATTAAATCAGCTCTTTGAGATCATTAGTCGTAAAAGAAAAACTCCAACCTGACTCAAAATTCTTTGCTAAAACCTATATTCTCATTTTGCACCACCTTACCTGGATTGGGTTTTCCCTGGAACTTGAGTCACTTTCTCGATCCTCACGATGGCTTTTTCCGTTCCACTCATGTGCAGCCTGCTTAAACATGGAATCTGAAAATAAATGTTCACTTTCATGTCTAGTCAAATTCAATGAAACTTGGGAGCTTTCCAGGGCTTTTTTCTCCTGTTTAGTCTTTGACTTGTTAGACTCTAAACTGAAGACATTTTCTTCTACAAGCTTCTGGAGGGTATCATGGGATTTTACTGGGATTTTAAAACTGATCTTCCTTCTTCTGGAATCCTTAATCAACTTGTTGGAATTATAATCCTGAGGAAAATGGATTCTCTTGCATTTCTCCAAAACACATTTTTCAGAACTGTCCCTAAATTTCTTGTGCCTTTCTTTCTTGAGTTCTTTCACCTTCTCCCCCTGAGGAAATACAGGAGGCCATTGTTTTTCACTTGCCTGGACTTCAGTTTTAGGTTGTACATCTTTGGCCATCTTAGGACTACTAAAGTTCTTAATTCCATGGTCAGGTTTACTCCTAACGCTTGTCAACTTAATATCTTTAAAGTCTACATATTTATTTGGCTCTTTTTTAGTTCCATGTGACGAAAGATTCTGTGAAATAATCTGATTAACACTTGAATATGATGCTTCTTGGAGTTTAACAGGTCCTTGGGATGAATAACTGATTTTTGGTCTCCTCCTTGGGGGGTCAGTTTCTACACTCAATCTGTAAAGCAGCACAGAAACCCAAATTACGTTACAATTATACATGATTATACATAATGTTAAACTGTATTATTTCAGTTAGGAAATGACAGAATTGGTCTGACACAAACCTCATAAAAAATAAGAAATGGCTACACAAAGAAGTGAAAGAATTACAAATGGTGCTGGCATAACTGGTCTGCTATTTGAACAAAAACCAAATTTACAGCTTTATATAAAACCAGGTAACATAAATTTCATATAGATTAAACATAAGTTCAAAATAATTACCATAATTGTTACACTTCATATTGATCCTTTAAAAACTATAGGGGAAAAAGATGGAATATTTATCTAATTTCTTAATAGAGAGCTTCCTAAACTTAATAGTGGTGGGAAAAATCACAAAGGAAAATAATAAATGTAAATGACTATTTATAGGGAGTATTGCTGGCTTAGTTGGAAGAGCATGTGACTCCTGATCTTTGGGTCATGAATTTGAGCCCTATGCTAGGTGCAGAGATTACTTAAATAGATAAAATTTTAAAAATAAAGAAATTACTATTTAACTTTAAAACGTTAGCATATTAAAAGTAGTAAAAAATTTTTTTAACTGGGAAATGGTATTTGTTATATATGTGACAGGTTATTAGCCTTAGTAAATGAAAACCTAATCAAAATGTCCTGACTCTAAAATAAGACACAAACAGAAAATTACTAATGAGAAAAAGGGATTGGCTAAGAGATATTTGGGGAATAAAATTTGACTTCCCAAGTAATCGCAGACATTCTAATTATAATAACATACCAATTTCTTCTTTCAGATTAGCAAAGATTTTTAAATAACATTAAATATTGGCAAGAGGTTGAAAAATGGACTCTCTCATGGGAGAAATACAAAATGATATAAGAGTTACACAGAGTGAGGGCCCCTGGGTGGCTCAGTTGGTGAAGTGTCTGACTCTTGATTTCAGCTCAGGTCATGATCTCAGGGTGGTGAGATCCAGCCCCACAACAGGTTCAGCATGGAGCCTGCTTAAGATTCTCTCTCTCCCCTCTCCCTTGGCCCTTGCCCTCACGTGAATCTCTGTTTTGCACTCTCTCTCTCAAAAAAAAAAAAAAAAGAAAAAAAAAAGAAAAAAGGTTCAGTGGGTGGCTTAGTGGCTGAGCATCTGCCTTTGGCTCAGGGCATGATCCCGGGATCCTGGGATCAAGTCCCACATCAGGCCCCTGCAGGGAGTCTGCTTCTCCCTCTGCCTATGTCTCTGCTTCTCTCTCTGTGTGTCTCTTGTGAATAAGTACATTTAAAAATGTTTTTTTAAAAAAAATTTCCACAAAGGAATATGATAATATATTAAGAATTCTAAAAATGTTCATATTCCTCGACTTCCTAGTAATTCCCATTTTAGAAATCTATTCCAAGGTGAAAAAGATTTAAAAATGGACTGAAATCTTTTCTTAAAATTCAGAATTAGTCATAATAGCAAAAAGTAAGGTAACAGGGTAAATACTGAAATTTTGGAAATCACTTAAAAAATAGATCATTGTACCAAATATGATAGAATATCATGGTCATTATAAATGATGTTTATGAAAGTTTTCAATGATCTAACAAAACATATTGAAATAATATGAAACAAAAAAATCAAGCATGGCACAAATCTATATACAATGTGGTCTCAACAATTTAAATAAGCACAGTAAAAATGTCTGTAGAAAAAAATATGCTAAAATGTTAGAACTATCAATACCAAGAGGTGATATTTTTCTGCTTTATAAAAGTAGGTATTACTTTGTAGTCAGAAATAAAGGTGGAAAAAAAAGAAATAAAGGTGAAAAGATTTCAATGAAACACAAAATATTCATTTATATCAATAAATCTTTGAGTACCTTCTAAGTGCCTGTCACTCTGATAGACCCTGGAGAGAGCGTGGAGGATATATCCAATAGTGCTCTGACCCCAATTAACTTATAGGCTGGTGGGGGAGAAATTACCTTATCAGGTAATTATATACTAGCAAACTATAAATACCTCAGAGTTTTTATAAGCGTTTTTTTATTTGAGAGAGAGAGAGTTCGAGCAGGAAAGACGCAAAGGGAGAGAGAGAGAGAGAGAGAGAGAGAGAGAAGCAGACTCCCCACTGAGCAGGCAGCCTGTTGCTGAACTTAATTCCAGGAACCTGGGATCATGACCTGAGCCGAAGGCAGATGCTTAACTGACTGAGCCGCCCAGGTGCCCTTTGATAGGAGTTGTACCTGAGTCTTAATCGGGTTTTATTTTCTATCTCTTCCTACAAAAAGACTGCCAATTATTATTTGTTAGTAAATAATGATAAAATAAAACTTAAAATTCTAATAGGACTTTGGCTTCTAATAGTATACCATGTTTAAGATGTCAACTATATTAAAGAAATATCAGGGGAACAACACATAAAACATAACTAAAAAATTTCAATGGGACCCTGTAGTTCTCTGGGCATTTTCACATCCCTTTTCATTTGTTCTTCACAGCAACCCCATGCTGCATATTTTACATCTATGCACCATGGCTGTATGGTTATAATTAATGAAAACTCAACAATACTATTTAAAAGACCAACAAAATTAAATCTTAAAATTACCTATCAACTAGTCTTGCAAAATGCTAGACTGTGATTATGCAGTTTTATATCTGTAACCCAAAACACTAAAATTCTAAGATCTTTTTAAAATATTTTATTTCTTTGAGAGAGAAAGAGAGAGACAGAGATAGTAAGAGAGAGCATGAGCAGGGGGAAGGAGAAGGAGACACCCTGCTGAGCAGGGAGCCGAATATGGGGTGGGGCTTCCCCTAACTCCTTGTTTTCAAAGAAACTGATTTCACCAACTTTTATCATATGTTATACTTTTATACTTATTTATCACATTAGTGGCAAGAAATGCCTTTACCACAAAACTCTCTGAAATTTTTATCCAAAGAACATAGAAATTAAAGAAAAATAATCACTATTCCTACCATTATTCCCCAAGTTCTCTAGCTGTAGCCATATCCTATTTAATTAACAGTTCTAAAACCATACCAATTCAATAAGTGACATATATAAAGGTAATTTACCTTTAACATTTCTAAACGAGCCACACAACTTCTTCATTACATGTAACAAAGTTATGTATCTTATAAGCATGTGTCAAAAACAAATCACCTGAGATAAAAACCTGCATTTTACTTGAAAGTCTCATTTACATAGCACAGAACTATGACAGATTTCACTCAACTTTTTATCAAACCTACACTAATATTTTAAAAATTCAATAATCGGGGCACCTGCGTGGCTCAGTTGGTTAAGCATCCGCCTTCAGCTCAGGTCATGATCCCAGGATCCTGGAATTGAGCCCCACATCTTCTCCTTCTCCCTTTCCCTCTGCCACTCCCCCTGCTTGTGCTCTCTTGCTCTCAAATAAAAAAAAAATCTTTTTAAAGAATAATCATAAACTATACTATATCTAGAAATACTGGCATCCAAATTAGCATTAATCAAAATAAAAAACTTTGCAAATCAAAATATTTGGTCTCATAATTCTAAGCCCCCAAAAGTCAAAGATATCAAAAAAAGGGGGGAATTTACCTTTTCAGTTCTTGTCTTCTTTTTATATCACGGTATAAAATGTCTGTATGATCTGATTTCTGAAAGAAAAAAGGTATCATTTAGAAAATATAAATTGTGACTGACACTATGTTACAGCAGAAAGAGATTGAGAGACAATATATTTTTCCACATCTAAGTGTTAGTAAACAGGCTGACATAATAATTTATTTCATCCTTCCAATAATCCTATGAGACAAGTATTATCATCCCCATTTTACAGATAAAGTACTCAAGGCTCAAACAGAGCAAAGTATCTTCCTCAACATTATAGAGCAAGTCAGCAGCAGAGCCAGGATTGAAACAAGCTCTTTCTACTATCTCTACTCTCCACTCTGGGGATAAGAGAAGGCATAAGAGAAATTAAGAGAGAAATAGGATATAGCCCCTGTCCTAAAGACTTTAAAGAATAGAGAGAAGTAGAGGAATATGTATGAATAATCTATGGAAGGACATACCTAAGTGTCAAAGCAGAAGAATATACAATAAGTTTAAAAGAGGGGAGGTGGGCAGGGGGATGGGGTGACTGGGTGATGGGCACGGAGGAGGGCACTTGACAGGATGAGCACTGGTGTTAGACTATATGTTGGCAAATCGAACTCCAATTAAAAAAATCCAAAAAAAAATAAATTGTAAAAGAGTTCAAAACATCAATCACCAAAGTTTAGAACATACTTAAGTGGAAAAAATATATGCTAAAGATTGAAAACAGATTGAATAAAGATTAATGAGTAAAAGAAAAAGGTTTTCTCAGCTGAGAAAGCTTAGGCATTCTAAGAAGCTGGAGATGATTGGTGTAAATTCAGCAGAGAGAAAATAAACCAGCCTAGTAAGAAGCAGAGAGGCTATTTTTGGGAAGACAAAAGCAAACTGGCTAAGGTGTGACCAAATTTAAGATGGTCCTGAATGACAGACTAAAAAGTGAGGAAAGATTTTTAACAAGGAGAAATATATTGAAATCTTTTGTTTTAAGGTTAATATAGAAACAATAAATTGAAACAGTAGTGTCATGATACCAAAATAAACAAATCCTTAAAAACAATTCTGGGGACGGCTGAGTGGCTCAGCAGTTGAGCATCTGCCTTTGGCTCAGGGCATGATCCTGGAGTCCCGGGATCGAGTCCCACATCGGGCTTCCTGCATGGAGCCTGCTTCTCCCTCTGCCTGTGTCTGTCTCTGTGTGTGTGTCTCTCATGAATACATAAATAAAAATCTTAAAAAAAAAAAAAACAATTCTGCATTCACACAACTTTCACAACTACTTTCTCTTATTACCCATAACAACCCTGCAGGTATCCTAACATACACCTAACTTCAACTTGGATGTCGTGAGTCCTCACTAACCACCCAAGCACTAGCTTAATGTGTTTTTAATTATTTGCATGACTGTGGACTTGGCTCTGTTACTATAAACTATTTTGTGTCCTTGGACAAGTCACAACCTCCTGGATCTCAATTTTTAAATGTGAAAACACAAACACTACATATCTGCCTTGACTACCTCTAAAGGATATTGTAAAACCAAATATAACCATATATGGGAAAAGACTTAAAAACTCTCTTAATATTTGCAAATGACATATCAGATAAAGGGCTAGTATCCAAGCTCTATAAAGAACTTATCAAACTCAACACCTAAAAAACAATCCAGTCAAGAAATGGGCAGAAGACATGAACAGACATTTCTCCAAAAAAGACATACAAATGGCCGACACATGAAAAAATGCTCAACATCACTTGGCATCAGGGAAATAACAAATCAAAACCACAATGAGATACCACTTCATACCAGTCAGAATGGCTAAAATTAACAGGTCAGGAAACAACAAACATTGGTGAGGATGCAAAGAAAGGGGAACCTTCTTATACTATTGGTGGGAATGCAAGCTGGTACCTGGAAAACAGTATGGAGGTTTCTCAAGTATGGAGGTTCCTCAAGAAGTTAAAAACAGAACTACCCTACAGCCCAACAATTGTACTACTAGGTATCTACCCCAAAGATACAAATGTAGTGATCCGAAGGGACACTTGCACCCCAATGTTTATAGCAGCAATGTCCACAATAGCCAAACAGTGGAGGGGGCCCAGATGTCCAATGACAGATGAAGGGATAAAGGAGATGTGGTGTATACTTACACACAGGCACACACACACACACACACACACACAGGAATATTACTCAGCTGTCAGAAAATTTTACCCTTTATATCAACATAGATGGAAATGGAGGGTGTTAGGCTGGGAAAAATAAGTCAAACAGAGAAAAACAATTATCATATGGTTTCAATCATCTGTGGGTTGTAAGAAACAGCAGAGAGGATCATAGAGGAAGGGAGGGAAAACTAAATGGAAAGAAATCAGAGATAAACCATGAGAAACTCTTAACTACAGGAAACAAACTGAGGCTTGCTGGAGGGGAGGCAGGTGAGGTGATAGGCATTAAGAAAGGCAAGTGATGTGATGAGCACTGGGTGTTGGTGATGCAACTAATGAATTGCTGAACTCTACATCTGAAACTAATGTACTATATGTTGGCTAATTGAATTTTTTTTAAAAAACCTCTCAATTTATATCCATGTTGTACCTCACATGATAGAGTCTATCAGCATAAAAGAAGAAGTAATTTGATAAATGCTTTTTTGGTAAGAAGGAAGGAAAAAAACAAACACTGGTTTTCTTTCTATTGGCTATCATGAAGTATAAAAGAAAGAAAAAATGAGTAGAAAAGTAGTCGGAAATTTACATCATAAATATTCTAATTAAACGTTAAAACTTTAATGTCTAGTGTTAGTTACAGTACATAAACACTCACCAGTTTTCTCTTCTCTGAAGAAACAGACCTTACACAGCAAACTGAACTAGAACTTGAAGTTTTTTTCTCTTTCTTATCCTAAGAATGCCATTCGGAAAAAAGGAAAGCACAAAATAAAGCACAGTATAAGACAATATTATTTAATCATTGTGATTATAAACTAACACTCTTTCTACATTAATAAACTTCGGGGGGAAAATGTTTAAAGACACACAAACTTTGGTAAGAGGGAGATACACTTAACTAGAAGGAAAACTCAAGTAGAAATCAAAAGATCTGGGTGCTCTTAAATTAGGGATGAGATGAGAAACAGGTGCTACAGCAGAAGGCTAGCTGACAGCTCAGCTCAACCTGAGAGGTGGTGGCATTGCCATGGTGGAATTTAGTCTTCTACAAAGTAAAGCCATATCTAGTTATTTATATGAATTTCAAAATTCAGTAGACCCAGGACAAATGTATTTTGAATACCTACCATGTACCAAAGACGTTCTAGACAGTGGGGACAGATTAATGAAAAAACAAAAGTCCCTGGCTCCCATGGGAGGTTAAAATTTCAGGCATGAAACTGTTTATTTACAAATAAACAAGTAAAATATTTAGTGTGTCAGACAATGTGATGGAGACAAATAAAGCAGAGGAAGAGGGCAGGAAGAGCTGGGAGGTGGGGGTGGAGGCAGCTGCAATTTTAGAGTAGTCAGAAAAGGCCCCACTGATAAACTGACACTTGACTGGAGATTCGAACAAGTGAAGAAGAAGCCACGTTGGGGATCACTGGATGGCTCAGCGGTTTAGCGCCTGCCTTCAGCCCAGGGCATGATCCTGGAGACCCGGGATCAAGTCCCACGTCGGGCTCCCTGCATGGGGCCTGCTTCTCCCCCTGCCTACATCTCTCCCTCTCTCTCTGTGTCTCTTATGAATAAATAAATAAAATCTTAAAAATAAATAAAAATAAAAAAAGAAGCCACGTGAATACCTAGGGAAAGAGTTTCCCATCCAAGGGCTTATTGGAATAGTAGCAAGGAACCACAGAATGGAGAAAGCAATTGAAGAAAGAGAGGGAGACCAGATGGGGAGAGTAGGTTGTTTTGTTAGCCATAGCTAGGACTTCAGCTGTTATTCTGGCTGAAGTAGGAAACCACCAGAAAGCACTGATCAGAGGAGTGACATGATCTGACTTACATTTTAATAGGATCATTCTGGGCGCTTGTTGAGAAGAGAAAAATGGGAGGCAAAGGTGGAAGCTGAGAGAGAAATTTGGAAACCACTGGAATAATCTGGGGAAGAAAGCTGATTGTCTGGATCATGGTGATAGCAGAGAACATAGACTTGGTATTAAGAGAAACCTGATAAATTTGCTGATAGATGGATGCAGGTAGGGGCTGACAACCAGGATTTTGGCTCAAGCAAATGAAAGAATAGAACTGCAACTTACTAGTTGGGAAAATGAAGCTGGGCACTTGAAAGGTTATAGTTTAAGAACATGAGGAGGAATCAGCAAAGGACACTTCGAAGTAGTCACCAGTGTAGAGGAAAATTAGGAGAACATGTTGTCTCAAAAGCTAAGTGAAGAAAATGTTTCAAGGAGAAGGTGTAATTGGCTATCAGATTAAGTCTGAAAATTGACCAATGGATTTAGCAACATGGAAACTATTGCTGGCCTTGACGCAAGCCCATTTGGAGGAGCACCTGAAAAAGTCTGATTCAAGTAGGTTAAGAGAGAATAGAAGGAGAATTGCCAATGGTGTGCCAATTATTAGTGCCAAATGGGGGATTATATAAATCTAAGACACCATGGTACTGCATGGCCATACTCCAGATCCCCTTTCCAATTACCCCTATACCTGGGAGGCCAAATTAGTAATTAGAAAGTTAGTAAGCAAAGAGGTATTTTTTTCACTATTTTTGAACTGCAAAAAAAGGTATCTTTGGGTTAGTAAATCAAAATTCTTACTTCTATGTCAAAGTTGGGCGATGCAGTGGTGCCTTTCCTCTGAGATTTCTCTTTTTTTCCACAAGATTCTTTGTTGGACATTTTGAAAAGCTAAAATAAAAAACACATTAGGTGTTTCTGGTTTTTTTGTTTTTGTTTTTTACCACCACCACAACAAAATACATTAGAAATCAGTCTTCCTTCAGTTTTATAGACTGGAATTTTACAAAATGATCTCCATTTTCTAACCATTCCCAAGATAGCAGGATTCTCTCATTGTTCCACTTTATTTCACTTATAGTCTCCCTCATAATTATCTCTTCCTGTCTTTCAGTTTCATCTACCACCTTTTTAGGAATGACTCTCAGAACAGTGCCTTTAGCGCTGACCTTCTCTCTCAAGCTTCAGATCACCATTTTCAACTGCCTACAGGACTGCTGTATTTTGCCCAACCTACGCTTCAGAACCAATTAGTTCTAAGTCTTTATTTTCCTGACACACCCTCCACTCTCAACTTAGTGTGCATCAGAAGCATCCTGGGCTGGAATCAAAAGGCCAGAAGAGACTGGGAACATCATCAGGTTTGTTGGGATGGGAAGATACAAAAGAAGTCTAGCAGAAAAGCCCAAAGAACAGTTTATTGCTGACAGTAACACATACAGAAACTATGAATATAAGAAAGGCTAGAAAACAGGCAATTGCAATTACTCATAGTCAATCACAAGCACAGTAAGTGAAGTTCTATAAAATAACACTAAATCAAACTTTTGGAATGCTTCGATGAATATAAAGAGAAGTCAGAAAAATGAGTACAGCTAAGAGAAAGCCTAATAATAAAAATTAATAAAAGAATTTAGTATCAACTTCTAAGAACAGATTCTAAATTATCCAGAAATTTTGCTTTGTAAGGTAACGTACAGCAGCAACTGAATTCACAGCTGAGCTTCCAGATTAGAGTAATAATCCTCTTTTCCCCTTCTTGTTCCAAGAATTCTATTCCATGTCGGGGAAAGGTACAATAAAAAATTATAAATTCCATGAAATGAATTGTTTAGAGGCAATGGATTACTTATAATGTTAACTTTTACAATTTAAACTGATCCATCTCACGTTGTTCTTTTGACTACAAAATAAGACTAAATTTAAGCCTTTCATCCAAAAGCCAATTGAAAAAAATCACTGCAGATAGTGGTCTATAAAAGGAAAAACACATACATGCTTCCTATGACAAATGTTTTATATTAATAAAGATGTGAAATTCATGTTGATTTTATGAAAATCAAAATATAAACTCAAAGGGGAGATTTCCCGTGCTGGCCAGCCTCCAGAGTGGCTCCTGATGATTTCTGCTGCCCCGTACTCACAATCTCATATAGTCTTCTCACAATAAATAGAGCTGGCCTGTGACAGCAATAGGAACTGCCATATGGCAGTACGTGGCTAGGTCACTGTGACTTCTATTTTTCTCTTATTCTAGGGAAAGCCAGCCACCATATCATAAGGACATTGGAGAAGCTCACCAGCGAAGAACTGGATGAAGCCCCTTGCCATGCATGTGAGTGGGCCTGCTTTGAAGCTAATCCTGCAGCTCTAATCAAGCCTTTGAGTGGAAGCATCCCGGGCTGAATATCTGCACTACAACCTCATAAGACTCAGAACCAGGTACACCCAGAAAACCACTTCTGAATTCCTGACGCACAGAAACTGTGAGGTAATGTTTACTGTTGTTTTAAACCACTAAGTTTTAAGATAACTTAGACAGCAATAGATGAAGAGTACACTCACTTAATTCTCCAAACTTTAAAGACTCCTTTCTTTAGGATGTCTCAAGAGCAGAGACCACACTTAGAAATTCTTATTAAAATTCTCACACCCTAAGATCTAATCCTTTTCATCTTCTGGTTTCCAGCTAGTGTCAAAATAATGAGACTGATGGAGTGAATCAAGCTTTCCATGAACCATCTAGCCTTTTGGAAATAAGAGAGAGAGAAAAAAAATCAATGATGCTTGGGTGAAGCACAAACAGAATTAGCCACTATTCATTCCTATAAATTATAACATGTCATTTTCCCATTTTTTTTGATTAACTGTTAAGAGCAGTGAGGTAGGTAGTCACGCATTCAGGAAAACTAGTTAGAAGTTGGGGTGTGAGCTCGGTGGGTTGAGCATGACACTCTTGGGTTCCGCTGGGGTCCTAATCTCCTGGACGTGGGATCAGCCCCACTTCCAGCTCGGCACTAGTCTAGGAGTTTGCTTGGGATTCTCTCCTCCTCCCTCGGCCCCTCCCCTCCCCCTACTGGCTGCTCGCGCGTTCTCTCTCTCTCAAAATAAATAATTTTTTTAAAAATTTTTTTTAGTAGAGGTTGGAGGCGCTATGAGGACTTTAGAACTATGACTCACTTGGGGAGAGGGGAAAGGAAAACAGCCTCCAGATACATTTCCTAACTACTTCCCACTTGCTTTCCCACTCCTGGGATCTAACTACATTGATTGAGCGAGTTTAGGAGGTAGCAACTAAATTCTGTTACACTTTCAAAGTGCCAAATAAGGGGGACGCCTGGGTGGCTCGGCGGTTGAGCACCTGCTTCCAGAGCAGGGCGTGATCCTGGAGACCCGGGATCGAGTCCCACGTCGGGCTCCCTGCGTGGAGCCTGCTTCTCCCTCTGCCTGTCTGTCTGTCTCTCTCTCTCTCTCTCTCTCACTCCTGAATAAGTAAATAAAATCTTAAAAAACAAACCTGGGAAACAAGTAGGAAACAGGAAACAGACCGATGAGAGAGGCGGGCGTTAAGTACCAGCTTTACTAACCAGGAAAGCCCAACCGGAGGTGTGAGCCTCCTCGGACCTGCAGGGGCTTCCCTCTCCTTTCCTGATGCCTGGAACATTCGGACCAGTCCCAGAAAACTCAAAGTTGTCCTCTGCCGGCGCCGGTGGGCTTGGCTGCGCGAGGCTTAACCTCAAGCAGGTGGAGAGCAGAGGGAAGAGACCCCCGAGGGGAGTGGGAAGGGGATGCCGTGGGGCATCTGAATCGCATCAGGCAGGTGCCGCAAGGCTCCGCGCGCCCGGGTGTCCAAGTCCAAGCGTGAGGTGCGCGCGCACACACACGTCCCTACCTACGCGGCCCCTGCAACCACAGGACGGCGCTGACGAAAATAGGAATACGGAGGCTAAAGCAAAATAGGGACAGGAGGAGAAGCGTTCGGGTGACGGTGCGAAAGGAGGCGCAGACCCCAATTCCGAATCAGCCAGCCCCGCTAGGAAGCTCGTCAGCTGCTCGCAAGCCGCCGCGGCCCACGGGCTCCGCACAAACCAACCGGGCGCAGCCCAGAGGCAGCGCGGCCAGAACCACACCCTTCACGGAGCCGGCTCAACCCCGGATCCGCCTACAGAGCCGCCCCGCCCCGGCTCCAGGGGCCTCCGGAGTCCTCCGACCGGCCGGCCGCCCCCCGCTCCGCTCCCGGAGGGAGACAGGTGGGAACCCGCTCGGCAAAACGTCAACTAGCGCCCCAGTTACCTTACCTGCGCCCGCAGCGGCGGCGGCGGCGGCGGCTCCCGAGGCCCAGGCCAAGGAAAAGAGTCCCCCGCCCCCCCCCCGGACCCGATGCCCGCTGGGAAATGTAGTCCGGCTCTCGGACCCTGGCTACTATTCGAACGCTCCGAGCGTTTGTTTAGCTTTGCGTTTACTTCCTCCTGAGGGCTTGGAACGCCGGCTCCGCCCCCCCACCCCCACCCCCAGGTGGCGCGCTGCACCCTGGGTATTGTAGTCTTGATTCGCTGCCTTCGTTGACGGCTGGAACGGGGACGCACCGTGGAAGCCGAACTCTCTTACCTCATTGGACGCGGTCCCCGATACGTTTCTGCGCAGGCTGTGGTGGCGTCGTAACGCCTCGGGGAAAGGGAAGCGCCCCGGACCGCGAATCGCTGCCTCTGGCTTTTTATTTTTCTGCTGACAGGATTTGGTCACTGGTCCTTCGTCTTTTGTCTGTTGCACGCATCCAGCCCTTCCCACTTGCTTTCCCACTCCTGGGATCCAGCCCTGTGGGCGCTCACGCCAGTTCCCTCACCCCGCCGTGTGCCCCTGCAGGTCCCCGGGCGGGCCTGGCACGGAGGCGGTAACTATGGAGAACATGGCGGAGGAGGAGCTGCTGCCCCCGGAGAAGGAGGAGGTGGAGGTGGAGGTGGCCCAGGTCCAGGTCCCGACCCCGACCCCGGCCCCGGACTCGGCTCGGGTCCCAGCTCCGGCCCCGGATTCGGCCCCGGCCTCGGCTCCGACTCCGGCCTCGGCTCCAGCCCCAGCCCCCGCCCTGGCCCAGGCTCCGGCCCTGTCCCCGTCCCTAGCCTCTGCCCCTGACGAGGCGGAAAGCAGTAAGTGCAGGAGGCCTAGATCTTTCTGCCGCCACAGAAGCGAGAAAGTGCGCCTTGCCGGGGAGTAGGGGAGGCCCTTCTTCCCTACTGGCTTTTATGGGGGGCGGGGGGAGGCAGGTTTAGGGATGGGGGGCGGGGGAGGAAGGGGGGACCCGTGTCGTGGGCCAGGCGGGTGCAGAGTGGGTGCGGGCATCTCCAGGACCCTCGGGGACCTCATGGTGACGGATCTGGGGAGGGCCAGGAGTGCTGCAGATAAATGGAAATGATGAGGTCGAGGGCTTCTTCGTTAAACGGGGTGGGGGGGGGTGTCTTTTTCTACGAAAACCGTCAACACCTAATTTGGTGTGTGCATGACTGTAAGTTTAAGTAGAGGTTCTCATTATGTGTATGTTACATTTCAAAGTCCACAAGACAAGGTTCACTGCTCATGAACTTAGTATATAATTTCACTGCTAATGGTTTGAGAGAGGAATAAACGGTAATTTAATATACAAGTAAATTTTATATCTTTATAACTGGGGAGCGGGGGGGAATAATAATTTGGTAGTTTCCCTCCCAGGCCCGTCTGCCATCGTTCGCTAAGTCCTTCGGAATGTGACATGGTGACCGAGGCACCCTGCTTACTGTAGTAGGGCCCCGCTGCCAAGGTTGAGGAGCCATTGCTATCCATCAACTGGCTTCTGGGCCCCGTAGGCACCAGTAGATGGGTTTCGAAGCATTTGATTTTCTTTAGCAGCTTGGTTTCTCAAAAAGAATTTGAGGCTGATAAGGTAGTTTAAGAAAGGGTCGATTACATTGTGGATGCCTTCCCTCAGTCAGAAATACCAACCGGGTTTTGTAGTCCATTCCATCAGAAGTGAACTGTCGAAAATTAATAATAGCCCGTATTATTGTGCTAACGTGTGCGCTTGCATGTTTTCTAAGTGGTGATTTATTAGGACCATAAAGAGTAACACGTAAGACTCTTCCGAACACTTTTAAATGTAAAGTCTAAGCAAGTTGTTTTTTTTTTTTTTTAATTGTTTTGTGGTCCGTGAGTTGTCCCTTAGGCTGTTTCTGATTATAACAAAATAAATTAATTCATTTTCTTTCCTACTTCCAGGACAGTTGCGAGGTTAATATCTATACAACACTGGGTAGTTGTAATGGACTAGAGTTATTTTGCGATTTTTAAAGCCACACATAAAAATTGTTATAGTAGGTTAAAAAGTAGAGCTGAACACAGAAAAGGCAAAGACAGCGTGCCTAAGGTGGGACGCTCAGATTGGAGCTTGTACCTGCAAAACTACAGTGAGGAGGAGTGGCACACGCCTCCCTTCCTCACCTCTAGATTGGGTTTGCTTATATGAATCAGAATTGGTCCACCAGCTTTAGGGAATGCATGCTTTCTCCACCTCCCCCACCAGAAAGAATGTTAAACATAATTTGGGAAGATTTAGAAGTATGTGATTCAAAGGATGTATGATGTTTGAGAAACCAGAAAAATGCATTCCTGGGACAAATGTGTAATGATTGAGAAATCTGAAATACATTAGAAATATATATTTTTTTTTAAATCTTTTTTTTTTTAATTTTATTTATTTATTTATGATAGTCACAGAGAGAGAGAGAGAGAGAGAGAGGCAGAGACATAGGCAGAGGGAGAAGCAGGCTCCATGCACCGGGAGCCTGACGTGGGATTCGATCCCGGGTCTCCAGGATCGCGCCCTGGGCCAAAGGCAGGCGCCAAACCGCTGCGCCACCCAGGGATCCCCGAAATATATATTAATCACATTTTAAAAGTTATATATGGTCTAGTTAGTCCTTTGAAATCAGTCTTTACTAGGCAAGGTGAAGATGGCGTATCTGAAATAGAACTGAAAAATGAGGAAAAAGCAGAAGTTGTAAAAGAGCCTCCTAGTATCTTGGATTCATCTGGTTTAACAAGAGGTTTGCTATTGACTTCAGAATTATTAGTGTATTACAAAAAGTTTAAGTACATATTGTCTGATATCTATTATCTGAACCAGAAACTTATTTGAGAGGTATACATACATGGGCATATCATGAATCTTTAGACAGATCTTTGAGAGTTTTAATTGTGGGCCACAGGATTTTCATTGTTCTCTTGTGACTTATTTTGTACGACTTAGAATGATTTCCATAAGCAAAGGTTTATATAGTACTATATAATTTCACATACACAGACCTTTGAACTTTGGAAGCCAAAAGCCTTATGATTGCAAATTGAAAGGACTGATTTGTACATGTGGATTTATTGCCTGAATCTTATGGTCTCACCTAGCAATTAAGTTTTTGGTCATATGGGAAAAATTTTGCCTATTCATACAACTTTCATCTCATAAAGTCATTTGAACAATACACCTAGTAAAACAAGTTAACCAGTAGGATTTGTTGCTCTTTGTATTTCTCATTTAAAAATGAGGTAAAGGGCAGCCCTGATGGCGCAGCGGTTTAGCGCCGCCTGCAGCCTAGGGCGTGATCCTGGAGACCCGGGATTGAGTCCCACGTCAGGCTCCCTGCATGGAGCCTGCTTCTCCGGCTGTGTCTCTGCCTCTCTCTCTGTCTCTCTATGAATAAATAAATAAAAAATCTTTTAAAAAATAAAAATAATAAAAATGAGGTAAAGATTTGTCTTTTAATAAATTTGAGCAGGAATGTCTGTCTGATAGTGCTGAATTGAATTCCAAAAATATTGACTCAGGGTGCTACTGCACCAAAAAGAGTAATGATTTTTAAAAATATTTAACAAAACATAGTGCCTGCTGTGTGCAAGATACTGCACTAGGTGCTTAGCCATTGCAAAAATGAGGGAGGCATACCCCCTGCTGTCCTGTTTATTTGTGGGGGGAGACAAGGACACAAATTATACAAAAGGGTGGAAAAAAAGGAACTGAAAGTGAAGCTTGGAGAGGAATAGGCAGGAAGGTAACAATGTCAAGGAAAGAACTTAAAGGGCTTAAAGGTTCTAAAACTGTATAACCTAATTGTATAATGAGTAGTAGAGAGCCGTGTGGTTTACCATCATCTCCTCTCCCGTTGGGGATCTTTTCCTGCCAGTTTTCAGCTCCTAAGTCTTGTATTTGTATATTCAAGCTCCTATTTTGTAAACATTATTCTCCTTTGGGATACACATATTCAAGTCTATCCTTAAAAAGAAAGAAAAAGCAAGCTACAGTCCCATCTATCTCCTTTTTTGTACTACCACACTTTTTGAAATAAATCTATGTGCTTTTCTATACTTTATTTCTTCTTCCAATCCCGTTTGTATTCTAGAACACCTCACTGAACCTTTTTTCTTAAAGGTCACTGGAGACCAGCTAAATACTAAATCCAGTAGTTTTTTTGTTGATTTCTACTACTGTTTGTGATAGTGTTGAACAGTTGTCTTTTACATTCTCTTTTCCTTTGGCCTCTGCCTTATCTTGATTCTCCTTACTGTTTACTATTCTTGAATCTACCCTCCTGATTATATTTCCCTAGTGTCTCTTCATTACCTACAGCCCTCTATACATCACTTCCGAATTATAACCATTTATATTAGCCAGTAGTGGGTTCAGTGGCATTGGGGAATGCATGCCCCTTGTACATACTCGAGAATGTATTAAATATACTTTGGGAAGATTTATTCATATATTCCAAAGTTTACACATATGTCATTTGAAGAATGTGTAATGTTTGAGAAACCTAAAAATATTGTTACTGGGACTGGATTTTGGCTGTTTTCTTTTTTCACAATATTTTTTCCTTAGGCCTTCTTCAGCTTATAGTTTCACCTAACGTGTATTTACAATTTATATCCCTCCTGAACTCCAGAAACAACTCAACTGCTTACTGAACTTTAGTGTGAATACTGTTTGTACATCAAACACACTTTATGTCAAAAACTAAACTCCCTTTTCTCCTTTCCTCTTCTGCCAAAAATGTTTTCCTCTTCCTTTATTGATTAATAGTTCCTTTATTCTTTTTTTTTTTTTAAGATTTTATTTATTTATTCTTGAGAGAGTCAGAGACACAGGCAAAGGGAGAAGCAGGCTCCATGCAGGGAGCACGTGGGACTCGATCCCGGGACTCCAGGATAACAACCCGGGCCAAAGGCAGGCGCTAAACTGCTGAGCCACCCAGGCTGCCCAGTACCTTTATTCTTAACCACATAAACTTAAAATTTTAGAATCATTCTTGAACATACTCTTCATTCATGGTTATTTCTCAC